ACTTCTGGAAGTTTCATTCAGGGATCGGTGAGTTTGGGCTCTGACTTTAAGTCTCAGGCTTGAAGCAAATGCCGTGCTGTCCTTGTCTGGAGCTGACCTGTGGGGCTCGGGGCCTGGGGCTTTAGAGGCTGGCACCACCCAGGGGGTGGCCATGCCCATGGCAGCAGTGGGAGCATCTGCGGAAGGACCACTTGCCATGTCTTTCTGCTTCGGGCTTGGGGTGCGTGTGATACAGACTGTCGGCTCCTGTCTGGACACCTCCCACTGAAGTGGCAGGAGACGGGCACTCGGCTCTGTTGTGGGCTCACGGGGCTGAAACAGACTTTAACCAAAAGTCAGACAACTTGAGCATCCTCTTCGAGACCTTCTGTTCCTTTTATAGCTACAAGGAACGACCCGCAGAAAAGTGATTTCATACTCCACTGGTGACATATACGTGGTCTTCAGTAGGACAGGGAAGAAAATGACCTGTGACAGGGAGCGTCTTTCATGATTTGTGATCCCCGGCTGCTTTCCTAGGAGGGTGAATCCCAGCAGAGTCTTTGCTGAGTAGTCTCAAGAGTGTGAGGGTGCAAACTGGAGATGCCCAGAGGGAGTTCCAGGGCTCCCCTGAGGGGGGAGCTGAGGGTCCTGTGGTGGGGGGGTGGGGCAGAGGAGGAGCTACTGGAGGGACGAGGTGAGAGGGATGGATAAGGGGGCGGGGCTGAGCCAAGGGTGTCTGTTACCTTCTCCTCCGTGTGGCCACAATCGGTGCTATACTGTGGAGTCGGCTTTGTTAGAGTTCCAATCAATTACTGGAATTCTGTCTCAAAATAGGCAAGAAGAACGGCTGCCAGATCAGGCCCAGCCATTTGGGTTACATAACAAAAGAACATGTTATTTTAGAGGAGGTGATTTAGGCTCTAGGGTGCCTGCCACGCACGCCCCATTATCAGCTTACTCTGAAATGGGCTGCTCAGGGGTCTGTCTCCCAAGCTGTTCCCTGGACTCCCCTAGGGCCTTACTCACCTCTGGGACCCCAGGGCCTGGACGGTGCTGCTCTGCTGAACCATCCTAACTCCTCCCAATTCACCGTTAGCTGAGTTTTAGTTCAAATAACATTTAATCAGCACCTACCTGGCACCAGGCCCTATAGCAACACAAGGAATAGAGAAATGGCAAAGACACAGGCCCTGCCTGCTAGGAGCTCACGGTAATAGATTGTTGCTGTCGGATTATAAGTGGAATGAAAGAGGAGGGTAACGGTGATAGGAGAGCGTAAGGGACAGGGGTGTGGAGGGAAGGCTTCTGGGAGGAGAGGACAACCTGAGCCGAAGGGAGATGATGGCAAAGAAGAAAGAGTGCTCCAGGAAGAGACCAGCAAGGACAAAGACGGGGACCAGCCTGGTGCCTTCTGGGTCCTGGGAATAGCCCCCAGAGCACCAGTGGTAGGCAGGGAGGGTGGGGGCAGACACTGGGAGGCCCATGGGGCTTTGTGTACCAGCTGAGAGGGACTTCATTCTGCAGGGTGCAGTCCTCAAGAGGAAGGGAGTGGCCAGAGAGAGAAAGACATGATCCCCGGTCCCCTGGTCGGGAATGGGCTGGTTTGAATTTCCAACATGGGCCACGCATTTGGTTTAAAAGAGCAAAATCAGAGTTAACATTTTATTTGATAAATATAAAAAGGATAGCTGTCACTCTTGTAATACAGTCTAACTTTGACTAAATTTTGGATAGAGGAGCAGAAATTAGAAAAAAAGGTGCAGGAACGCTGCCTCAGGTGGCGGGGAGCCATGGATGAGTTGGGTTGGAGGGGGGGATACAGGGCAATGACGGACATGAGCCAGATTTGCATTATAGTGACTCTGGCTACTGATTGGCTGGAGGGTATGAGAGAGGAAAGGCTAGGCAGAGACCATGAAAGGGATGGGGATGACACTGGCTTGATTCGGGGTGTGGTACTCTGGGTGGGGAGATATTTAGGACACAAAACCAGAGAATTTGGTGACAGAGTATGTACACAGGGCATGAAGAGGGAGGAGACAAGGCTGCCTTCTGGGGCCCTTGGTGGGTGGCCAGCTGGGTGGGGGGCAGGAAGGAGACGCTGGCTGGAGGAAGGAGGCTCTGGTGCAGGGTTGGCCAGAGTGATGGTGTGCTCCGACGGGTCATTTTCGAGGTGGCTGTGGGACATGCAGGTGGGCAAAGGCCACAGTCTAGTGAGCAGCCGGCTAGGGCTGAAATCTCGTGTCCCAACTCCTGCCTTCCAGCCGGCTTGGTTGCACACTGAGAGTAGTGACCAGGTGGCCCAGGGGTGGAGGGGTCTGGCATTCTCACTACACGGGGCACCCCTTGCTTCTCAGCTCTGCCCACGGGGCCTAGGCGGCTGGAAGCTTGGGTGAGCTCGCCTCTTGAAGCACATGCTGGGGAAACCGAAGACTCCGTGTATCATGATCCTGGCCTCAAAACCACAGCAGGCACAGCTCAGAGGGTTCTGTCAGGCCAGGATCCCCCGAGGCCCACCCAGGACGGCAGATCTGCCCCGGGTGCTGGACCCTCCTGAGTGACGCTGGCATCAGACCTCTTTTGCTGATCTGGTACCTTTCCTGGCCCTGCCCAGCCTGACTGCAATCAGAGATTTGACCGATTTGGTAACACAGGAGAGTGTTTAAAATAATGCCTTTGCCTACAATACCTCTCAGGGCTATTTTCATTGTAATCAGGGGTTAATGCTATAACCCAAGGAATGGAACACTAATGGTGGAATTTCAACACTGATGGAGATCAGGAGGGAATTATTCAGCATTCAGTGTATACTTCTCTGTGGGACAGATGTCTCTCTTCTTACCTGAATGGCATAGGTTCCTTCTGGGGACAAAAGTTTAATTCTCTCAGTGGACACAAGAAATAGTTCAGACTCTGAAAATCCAAGCCTTAACAGGGACGGGTCAACCTCACATCTCTGTGGCAGGGGCTGTCGGTGAAGCAGAGGGAGCTGGAGCTTCACGTAAGACAACTTATCTGGCTGCAGGATTGGTCTTTAAGGCGGGTCAGTGGCCACCCATAGAAAGCAGGGCATCCAGAGGTATGTCAGCAAACCCCCCAGGGAGGGCTCCCATATCGGTAGGCAGTGGACAGAAGCAGCATTAAGTGGCGGCAGTGACCCTGTTCTAGCTAAAAATGAGGCCCATGGGAGGAGAGCCCCAGCTGGCAGCTGTACACGTAGAGCATAGAGAAGAGCTTTTGAAAGCGACTGCCAGGTCCCTAACTAGAGGCGTGACCATTGGGACTGAGCTCAGGGGCCCTCTCAGCACTGGAATGATGAGCCCCGAGTGCCCAGCAGGGCTGAGAAGGCAGCTGTGCCTCAGCGGCCACGCAGCATCTTGGTTTCCCTCACACACACTGGACCTGCTGAGACGAATTCTCCTTGCCCCTCCTGGGTGAGACTAGTCTTCCCAAGTGCTGCTCTCTGGGCGGTATGGGGTCTGGGGTGGAGCTGAGCTGCTGGTGAGGCAGGACAGGCAGGGCCAGGCCCTCAGAGCCACGGAGCGGGTGGGTGTGGGAGTGGGGATGGAACACTGGCTCTGGGTGAGACAAGCATCCCTGGGTCTAAACAACAGGCACCCAAGTGGAAAAAAAAACAAAACAAAAACCTATCACTTGTCTTTTATTCTAAAGCATTTTGATGATTAACTCTTTGATGACCTTGGTCCCCAGGAGTTTTGGACTAGTAACTCGCCCTTGTTAATAAGACATTAACAACTTTACATTCCTCCTTCAGTAGTACTTTATGTCCTGTTACCCAGGTATTAGCTGGGGCCTTTCTTCCCCTTGAACAGTAGGTGACATTGTCTTGAATCCACCAATTCATGGTCTGTGTAACTTCGAAACCCTCCCACTTTCCTGGGGTTTGAGATTCTTTGGGCTTCTTCTGCCTCTTTGGGCTGCATCCAAAAATCAGTCACACCAGCATCTGTGAGTTTGGTAGCTGTTAGTGAAGTATTCTGGGGGGTGTCAGGAAGGTGCCAATCCCTTCTAGCCCAGCAGCGTGTGCTTTCTGGGCTTGCGCGGAGTTCCACATACTGCTCCCTGCACCGGACAGAGCAGCCGCCCTCCTCTGGGCTCCCTTGGCCAACGCTCAGCAAAGGGATTTCCCAATTCCTCTCTGAAAGGAATTTTGATGCTGATTGTAAAGATAATGAAGCTTTCTTTACCTTTTTGTAGACACAGTTTGCTTTTAAAATAAAAAATTCAGCTTCAGTTCATTTTCAAGAATTTCCCAGCAGTCCTTAAAATAAATCGGCAGCTAATGGTGCTGCAGAAACAGGGTGAAGAGTCATGGTGGTGCAGACAACACCCTGATATCTGTCGTGTTTTGTGTCTTCCAGTTTCTACCCGGATGTTTGAGATCCTGTAGATGCAATCGGCGACCCCGGGAGTGGAACTGGAGTGTACAGGCTGAGCGCTGAGAAGAGGCAGCCTGGGGCAAGTCTCCTCCAGCCTCCTGGTAATTAGTCGGTAGTTTTCAGTGGTGATGGGGGGGGGGTGAGACACACTTTTTGATTGGGTCCATCTCACCAGGATGAGCTTCCAGACACTCAGGTCATCGCCATGAACTGCCCCGATCCTGCTGACTCAAGAGCTACCATGTGCAACTAGAGATTATCATGCTAAGTGAAGTAAGTCAGAAAGAGAAAGACAAATACCATATGCTATCACTTATATATGGAATCTAAAATATGGTACAAATGAACCCATCTACAAAACAGAAACAGACTCACAGACATGTAGAGATCAGACTTGTGGTTACCAAGGGGGAGGAGAGAGGGAGAGGAGTGGACTGGGAGTTTGGGGTGAGCAGATGCAAACTATTACATTTAGAACGGATAAATGTATAGCACAGGGAACTATATCCAATCTCCTGGGATAAATCATAATGGAAAAGAATATTAAAAAAGAATGTATATATGTCTAAAACAGAGTCATTTTGCTGTACAGCAGAGATTGGCATAACATTGCAAATCAACTACACTTCAATAAGAAAAAGAGCTACCATGGAATCAGAAGGACCTTAGAGGTCACTGGTCCAACCCCGAGCAGGGCAGAAGCCCCACTATAGCATCCTGTAGTCACCCTGACTCCAAGGAGAGAGCTCACCACCTAACGAGGCAGCCTGTCCCATCCTCTCGTTACTGAGCAGCTCCTGCTGGTGGAAGGCTCACCCTCGCACCCTTGGCTAGAATCTGCCTGCCGGCCTGCAGTAACCACTTGCTTCCTGGTTCTGGCCCCCGAGGCTCTAAGGAATCAGCCTAATCCCTCTTCCACGTGGCAGTCCAGCATATATTTAGGGACAATTGGAGTGGAGGAATGCAGGACCTGGGGCCAGAGGCAGGCCTGGTTGAAATCCTGACTCCACTGCTAATCTGTGTGATCTTCAGCAAGTTAGTTAACCTCTCTGATTCAGTTTTTTTTAATCTGTAAAGCTGGGACACCAATGTCTGCCTCACAGAGCGGTCCTGGGAATGAAAATAAATCACAAATAGAAGTTGCTTGGTGGTATTCCGTCACCAATTCTCTGAACGTCCTACAATTCAACCCAGTTCTGACACTACCCTGAGTTAAAAGGGCACGTAAGAAAAGGCAAAGTCATGAACAAGGCTCTGCCCTCTTCAGAGGCCAGCTACAGGTGTGAACCCCAGGCCATCTGCACTTCCGACCAACTTGACTGTAAATTTGGGGGTTCCCACAACCTCCCTTTCAGTTTCTATAATTCCCTAGAATAACTCGCCGAACTCACCGAAAGCGCTATAACTGCAATTGCAGTTTTATTATAAAAGATCCAACTCAGGAATAGCCAGACAAAAGCAGGGTAGGGTCTGGGGGTTGAGGGCGTGGTGCAGAGCTTCCACGCCCCCATCCAGCCCAGCAATGTGCTCACCAACCAGGAAGCTCCGCCTGGCCTTACTCTCCAGGGTTCTTTAAAGGCGGTGTGCGTTATTACCAGGCACAACTGATTCAATCATTTGCCACTTGATTGAATGCAGTCCCCAGCCCCTCTCCCCTCCTCCCTCTGTGGTTGGGATGAGGGTGAAGTTCCAACCCTCTAATCATGTACTTGGTCTTTCTCAGTGGCCAGTCCCTCCCTTGAAATATCTAAGTGCCCACCATAAGTCACCACATTTGCATAAAAACTCAGACTTGGTGAAAGGGGCTCACGATGACTAAGAAAAGACACTCCTAATGTCTTTTGGACGTTTTAGAAATCCCATGTGTTTTTGAAGCTCTGTGCCAGGAACTGGGGCCAGAGGCCCCTTCTATTCTTTATGACGCCACACCTGGCCTCACAAGCGCCGGTATCCTGTGATCTTTAGCACCCTGCTTACCCCTTTTCCTTTGTGATCTCCCAGTTGACACGTTCCCGCTATCTGGTCAGAGAACGAGGCATTCTCGTCAGTCTCTTTCTGGATTTTCTTTTTGTTAATATAGTTCAAGATTGAATTAGTTTGGGGACTAAAACATATAATTACAGTTATTTGGTGTGTACCTGTTTACAATTGAATCGTAAGCCTCTCATTACTCGAGTTCCTCATGCTACGATGATTCTAGCCCCTAAATGACACATAATAAGAGCAAATGCTAATAGCACTTGCTATGCACCAGGAGCTTTTCGAACTACTTCACATACATTAACTCACCCAATCCTCACAACAACCTAAAGAGAAGTTAAATAGTTGCAATCCCTGTTTAATATATGGGGAAACTGAGGCACAGAGAGGTTAGGTAACTTGCCCAAGATCACACAGCTAATAAGGGGCATAGCTAAGATTTGAACTCATGGTCTGGTTCCAGAGTCCTTGGTTTTAACCACTAAGCTGTGCTGCACACAACTTTGACCACCTCCCAACATCTCGGGAAGGGAAAGAAGGAGCACAGAAGAATGCCTTTGGTTCACAAAACCGAAGAGTTTGCCCAGGCCCCAGCTGTCGTGGTGAGGGAGTCAGGGTTTCCATTTTCTACCCCCTCCCCCATCGGAGCACCTCTGGAGCAGCCCTGTGGGGCTGGGCTCTAACGAGTGAAGGCAGGCCTGGAGGTTCCTGTCCATCGGGCCTGGAAGGTCTTCGTTCCTCATGCTTCGTGGGCCAGAGCTACTTCAGAGACTTCACAGCCTGATTCCTGGGAAGTGCAGCCACTCCAAAGGGAAGAGAGAGGACCAGCTTTTTCCTGCCTGGATGAAAAGGATTTAGTCCAGGAGGGTTCAGTACCAGGCTGTGCTGGTCCCAGAGAAGCTGACAGCTCAGGTGGTTCTGGAGCTAGTGGGATTTGGCGTTGTGAGGGGCACAGGGATCTCCACGCCCACATCCAGTGTATCCATTGGGGGATGGCTTGTTGCTATTTTAAAAATAACATCAAAGATTCGGGGGTGTGAAGGTGCCCAAGAGAATTAAAGGGGACAGATACAGGGGGGCGATGCCTCTGGAAGAATTTTGGTCTGCAGCGGTGTCTTCCCAGAAGAACCCGGGTGGTGACCCCATGTCTGCACGGCTCCGTTGCATTCCCATTATGTTTGACCTTGCGGTCTCTTCTCTCTTCCCAAGTTCCAGAGATGAAGCTGTTTGGGAGCATGATGGGGGTGAAGTATTCTTAACTCATCCCATGTGCATGGGATTGACTTGAAACCACAAGGTAACAGTCAGTAGGTCATATGTGCTCTTTGCAGGTGTTTCTCTTTCAGCATTTGGCTTGAGGAAGAGGAACTGGGGAGATGCAGGAAGAAGGTCTCTTGCTCCAGGAAACCTAGATCCTCCATCCTTCTGCCTTTTCTACATGAGTCTGTCTCTCTCCATATAGTGTCAGAACTGGAAGGGGCCTCAGAGGTCCATTCTGTCCACTGCCCAATTTAGGAATGGACAAAGTGACACCCGAAGAGGGAAATTACTCGCCCAAGTCCGTGAACTAGAGAACGTCGGAACTGGGGCAACACTGCAGATGCTAACTTCAGTCCAGAGCTCGTTCAACCAGAAGCATCCCTGACGGACTCAATCACTCTTCACTTAGACGAAGAATCTGCCTCTACGTGTCACTAAGTACAACCTCAAACATCTTAGCAACCTGCCAAATACGTCTCAAAATACTTCCTTAGAGACCGTTGGTTGGTTTGTTTGTTTTTGGCTGCCACTGCAAGGCGACTCCTTCTTCCCTTCTCCATCCTCCATCCCCTCGACATGGCTGGTAAGGGTGGTGCTAACTGGGGGAGATCTGGTGAGGGCTTTCACAAGGAGCTGACTAATTAGTGACGGAATTAAGATCAGACGTCATGGTTTTGTAAACTTGTAAAAGCAGGTGGTGGTGGCACTTGGAGCCCTCTTGCTGCCCCAGGTCAGGTGTGTGGTGGCAGCTGGTGAATAGAGTGGGAGGAGGAGGCCTGGACAGCCATGAGAGGCGGTGCCACCTTGGCAGTCTTGCTAGAAATGACCAGCACCTGGAATGGATGCCTTCTGTTGCATGATACAGCAACTGACATCTAGCCAGTGGTATTTCAACCCGGCTGCCCATTAGAATCACCCAGAGAACTTTAAAAAAATCCTGATGATCAGGTCACACCCTGGACTAATTATATTAGAATCTCTGATATCAGTATTTTTCAAAGTTCTCCAGGTGATTCCAACGTGCACCCAAGATTGAGATCCCTGCTCCAGGCCGAGGGTTCAGAGCTTCAGCTGACCCTCGAAGGACCTTGTCCATGTGTCTTCCCTTGAACTTGTTACTTGCCTTCTCCAAAGGAGAATGCAAATAATAATAATAAAATCAATCAATCAATCAATCACCTGAGTGTTCCGGGCTGATGGGATGGACTCCCACTTCTCATGCCCACCCCACTCAGAGGAGCTATAAGGTGGAGGGTAAAGTGCTGACAGAAGCAGGAAGAAGAGATCACAGACAGCTCATGGACAACAAGAATTTGCTTTCCTGGTTGTCAGCAAGGCCTCTTTCGTAATGAGCTGTTGGCTGGAATGAAGGCTAAGGCTTGGGCTAGCAGGATCAGCTGAGGGGTCGGAGCAGATCAGATCTGGGGAGGCCAGCAGCTGCTCTGAGAGAACAAGAGAGGCTCCATCTCCTGGAATGGGAGACCCCAGAGGCAAAGTGAGGGAGGGTCAGGTTAAGGATGAAAGCCAGGTGCCCTGACCCCAGGTAAAGCTCTTCCGTTGGTATCTCCGTACTTGTGTTCAAAAACTAATTCAAAATTCACTTGTGTTCAAAAACTAATTATTGTTCAGTCAAGGCACTTGCCTTCTTTTTTTCTCTTTTGCAGTATGCAGTATGCACTGCTGCGGCCTCTCCCGTTGCGGAGCACAGGCTCCGGATGCGCAGGCCCAGCGGCCATGGCTCACGGGTCCAGCCGCTCCGCGGCACATGGGATCCTCCCAGACTGGGACACAAACCCGTGTCCCCTGCATCGGCAGGCGGACTCTCAACCACTGCGCCACCAGGGAAGCCCAGGCACTTGCCTTCTTTTGCTGAGAAGGGGCTCAGCCAACTGGGAGAAGGCTGAAGCTCTGTAAGCCTCCACCCCCTCTGGATGTTGAAGGGGCACAACCCAGATCTGAGGGCCTAGCCGTGCTGATACAGAGGGAGACTGTCATGGCCAGAGTCTCACAGCTGGGAAGCAGAGGCTGAATGGCAGCCTCCTTCTTCAGAAGGGCTCCAATATGCCCATAGAAGCCATTCCTTCATTCCTCGTTCAGGCATTTAAAAAAGGCTGCTTGAGTAGAAAAAATATGTGGCTTTTCCCCAGACCAACTTTCCAAACACTGCCCTAGCCCTCCCTCCAGGGACCAGGTCAAGATATACGGGCCTCTGGGCAGCCCGGCAATGTGGTGCCCTTCAAACGGTGTTTATTCTTTTTTTTTTTTTTTGCGGTACGTGGGCCTCTCACTGTTGTGGCCTCCCCCGTTGCGGAGCACAGGCTCCGGACGCGCAGGCTCAGCGGCCATGGCTCACGGGCCCAGCCGCTCTGCAGCATGTGGGATCTTCCCGGACCGGGGCACGAACCCGTGTCCCCTGCATCGGCAGGCGGACTCTCAACCACTGCGCCACCAGGGAAGCCCGGTGTTTATTCTTTTACTGTTTCTCAATATTTATTTACTGGGGTTTAGGAGAAGCTTATTTTCCATTAATAAAAATTGCACACCTCTTTTATTCAGTTTTGTGGATTTCCCACCGAATGTTTTTAGGAGGCTTCTTAGAGGGTTTACATTTTAGATCAAGTACGAATTCCCAGTGAATAGCTTTACACTGTGTAGATAAGCATCACAAGATGCCCCCAGAGGTTTGCAGGTCGCGCTCGCACTGGAGGACCCGTCTACTTGAACCCGAGTGTGGCCGCCGAAGCCGGGAGGGTCAGGCAGGGAAGGGCGGGGGACCCCGAGCCGGTGACACATTTTCACTTCGTTGGACGCCCTACAGGCCGGCAGCCGCGGTGCCCAGCCCTCCAACTCGCGGCCCCGCTCACACCCTCCATGGAAGAGCCGCCTCCCACCGCGAATCTCCCCGAATCCAAGCCCTCTGCCTTAGGAGGCGCGTACCCCGACTGGGAGTACCCTCCTTTTTTCTCTGCAGGATTCCAGGAGTGGATTGTAAACCCACCAGGACAATGAGTGAAGAGCCTGTCCCCGAGGCCGCCTCCCCGCCGTCCGCGCAGGGGCAGCAGTACTTCGATCGTTTCTCCGAGGACGACCCCGAGTACCTGCGCCTTCGCAACCGTGCAGCGGACCTGCGGCAGGACTTCAACCTGATGGAGAAGAAGAAGCGTGTCACCATGATCCTGCAGAGCCCGGTGAGCGGGGTCTGCCCCGGCGGGGCGGGGGAGGAGAAAGGAGGCCGCAGGGGGTGTGGCGAGGGGAGATGAGGGGGACGCTGATTCAGCCGGTGAACCTGAAAGATAAATAACTCCGCTTCCGCTGGCTCAGGGTCGGAGCAATTTTCAGCTCTCTGAGCAAGATGCTCTGGCAACATGGGTGTGTGTCTCTCCCTAGTCACTGGCGGAGGGCAAAACCTGGTTTATATGCAGTGGTTTGGCTCGGTGCCGGGAGGAGGTGGGTCTGAGAGGCAGGAGCCCCACCTCAGTTTCTTGTGCCCCTTCTTGAGCCTCACTTTCCAGTCTTCCTTTCCCTCTTCACCGAAAGCTGTAACAATTCGAGTAAACCAGCGGCCACCGGGGGGCGCCACGTGGGAGGGTTGGGGCTCCCTTTTCTGAACGCCACAAAGAGCTCCGTCCTGGTAAATAAGGCTTTGAAGACCCCAGGAGGTGGGGGAGTGGAGGGCACAGCGGGCGAGACCGGATCACCCAGCCGTGGCTGGAGTCTGGAGGTCAGCTGGCACCTGCCTGTCGTGGACACAGAGCTCTTCCTTGAGACAGGTGGTGCGTTGAGGATGGAGGGTGGAGGGTGGGCCTACTGGACCAGTGAAGCAGGAGGGTGGTGCAGGCCCTCAGAGGGGGAGGAAGAGCAGTGTGGACAGAGGCAAGGGGGAGTCTCAGGGCAGTAAAGCTGGGGGCTCCGCAGGCAACAGTGCATGATCCTAAGTGTTGGGAAGCTCAGGGGCGGAGCTGGCATCTCCAGGTACCTGCCAGGATGAGATCTGCCTCAGCCACTACCCGGCTTTTCTGAGACCCTGGTTGAGAGCACACTGTGAATGCTCGGGCCTCACAGAGGAGTGCTAAGGGGGATGGGCCCGAGGTCTTGGTGACAGATGACACCATGTTGGGGAGTCTGGAGGAAAATGGCAGCTGCTAAAAACGTTGGGATGACAGAAACTCTGAGGGAGACTAGAAGGGATGGCGGGTGTGGTAGGAGAAGTGGCAGAGTTAGTACCAACCCAAGTCTGGGGGCCTGAAGGATGGGACTCTATTCTCAGGCAGGAGATGGGGACAGGAGGAGGTCATGCTTCTTCTGTCCTTTTGTAGATTCCCCAACACCTAAGTGGCTCCCCATTTCCTCCTGAGTGCTCCCTGCTGCCACCTGGTGGACAGGCATGCCCCATTTGTGGCCTGATGGTCTGAAAAGCCAGGCTTAGAGTAGCAGGACATCAGAAGTGGAAGTGACCTCTGAGGTCATCAAATCCTGAATATGAAGAAACTGAGGCCCAGAAGAGCCATCGGCCTGGCTAGCGGACAGGAAAGATGGCATACTTTTTCATTCAATTCTGCTTTCTAAAAAGTCTTTTAATTACTAAAGTGAAGTCCTGCCATGTCTGATGGGTGGGCAGGGGAGGGGGTCTAGGCTATCCCTGAGATACAGGAAGGACCAGGAGTCTGGAGTATTGCCCATGAGGCAAAGGGACAGGATTCATTCCCAGAATCTCCTTACTGCTCCCCACACAGCAGTCTGGGGAGGCTCCTGAGGTCCCAGTGGGATTGCCCGGTGCCCCCTGGGACCTAGATATCCCACATGTGGTCCTGGCCTAGCTGACCCAAGGGCTAGGGGTGGGCACTTGGGAGAGGGGCCCTCTGTCTCCCACATGAGGCACACTGGGAGGACCAGCGACTCGGGGGCCTGCTTCAGTCTTTCAGGGAGGAGCTGGAAGGCCTCATCCAGGAGCAGATGAAGAAGGGGAACAACTCCTCCAACATCTGGGCCCTGCGGCAGATCGCGGACTTCATGGCCAGCACCTCCCACGCAGTCTTCCCAACATCTTCCATGAGTACGTGGGGAGCTGGGGAGCTGCCAGGAGCAGAGGTAGAGGAAGTGGGGGAGGGAAAGGCGCAGTCAGAAGCGGCTTGGTTGCTGCCGGCCTACGCAGTGAGCGCTGCAGCTGCATTAACAGGCCTGGGGGAGCTGGGCCGCAGCCAGAGAGATACCTGCCTCTGCTTCTGATGCTGCTGCGATTTAAAGGCCCCAGGAGGATTACCCCTGATGCCCAGAAATCGGAGGGCAGGGGGTGGTGGAGACTTAAGGGAGAACCTAGTTCGGGTTCTGCTGGGGGCGGGCGGAGGATGACATCATGTCACTGCAATGAGAGGCAGGGCGGCCTATGTATGATCCCTCGTAAGCGGATTAGCATGGAGGGAAGAGCTTTGCAACTCAAGGTCCCTTGCACGGCCGCTGCTTGAGGCCCAGGAGTGGACAGTGGAGAGTTAGGATTCTGCTCTCTGTTACTCGAGCTATGGGCACAGAACCTAAGAAAATCCTTGTGTCCTCACAGCATCCAGCCCTAAGGCTGATCTTCCCTCAATCCCCTGGCGTCACTCCCTTGGAGATGGAGTTGGCGGGGGGGGGGGGGGGGGGGAGGGCAGATGGGAGGCCATTGGAGCCATTGTCTCCTCACCCCACTGGACAGGCCAACTGACTCCGTAGACAAGGGCCAAGAGCAACCAGGGCTAGGCACGAACACATCTTCCTTGGCTCTGAAGCTCTGCCCACAACCTTTAAGAAACAGACATCGAAAAATACTTCCCCTCAGCAAGATGAATATAGGATTATAGTTGAAAATTAGGAAAATAGTTGAGAAAGGGTAATAAAAATTACTGTACTGTGTTCTTACAACCAAGAAATTACTATTATCAATATTTTGGCGTATATCCTTCCAGCCTTTTTCTCTTAACATATACAGACTATGCCAAAAAAAGTGGAATCGCATTATACATACAAATTTAATAGCCTTAGCATATCTTGACTAATTTTTCACATAATAAAATATGGTTCTATAGCATAATTTTTGGTGGATGTATACTCTTCTGTACATGGCTGAATATGCCACAGTTTATTTAATCAGTTTCCCATTTTTGGACTTTTAGGTGGTTTCCAACTTTTTGCTATTATGAATGACAATGCAATAAACATCCTTGTAAATAAATCTGCGAGTATATCCATGACTATTTTCTTAAGATAAATTACTAGAAGTAGAATTGCTAGACTGAATTATACGCATGTTTTAAAGGCAGCAATGCATAATGCCAAATTACCCTGGAGAAAGATGGAATGAATTTACATTCCTACCAGAAATGCAAGAGTACCCGTATCCTCCACCCTGATCTGTAGTCTGTGTTACCATTTGTTTCATCCTCATGATATGATGGGTGATGAATAGTACTTTGTGTTTTGATCTGCATTTGATTACTATAGAGATTGAATATATTTTCATATACATATTGGGCATGATTTTCTTTTTGTACTAAATTGCCTGTCACATCCTTTGCCAATTTTGCTACTTGCATATTCTTTTCTTACAGATTTAAAAATCATAAAGTAAGGCTAGTTCCCTACTATCTGTCAAATACATTGCAGATTTTTTTCCAGTGTCTCCTTTGCCTTTTAATTTTGTTCATGATATTTTTGTGTTGCAGAATTCTTTAATTTCCATGTAGTTGAATCCATTATTATTTTCCTTTGTGTTTTCTGCTTTTGACTGCATACTTAGAAACACCTTCCCTATGTTTTATCATCCAATAAAATACCCTTAATTATTCATTTGCCAATTTTTCTCCACCATTGTTTAAGTTGATTCTTTAAAATTACTTTAGAAGTATTTTGTCACGTCTCTCCATCCACCTCAAAAAATTCCTTTTGGGATTTTGATTGGGATTACATTAAATGAATAGACTAATTTGGTGCAGAATTTATAAATGTACAACTTTGTATTTGAATGTAAACTCCATGGCGGGGAGGATATATGTATGTTTTGTTCACCGTTAGAGTAGTGTCCTGGACTTAGAAAAGTAGCACCTGGCATATAACAGGTGCTTAAAAAAATATGTGCATAAATGAATTTTAAATCTTTTCAGAAATGATGTGTGTCTTCTATTTATTTAAATCTTTTAAAATGTCCATCAGAAAAGCTAGTAGTTATTTTCTTATAGTCCTTACTAATTTCTTGTTAAGTTTATCCTGGAAATTTTATGTAACTTTGTCATTTTAAGTGATTCTCCAATCAACTTTTTTTCTGGTTATAGCTGTCATCTAGGGAAATCGTTGGAGATATATGTATTTATATATTATTTAAACTAGCCACTTACTGGACTCTTAAATTCTAGTATGTTCTCAATTCTTTGGGGCTTTGTATATAGAAAAATCACATAATCTGCAAATAATGGTCATTTTGCAACCTTCAATCCAACATTTACCCTTTGGTTTGCTTTTCCAGTTTTCTCATTGCATCCGTTAGAACTCTCAGAACAATGTTTAATAATAGATTAGAGAGTAATCATCCTTATCTTGTTTCTGACTTTTTTTTTTTTTACCACAAGAGTTTGAGATAGTTATTCTTTATCATGTTAAGAAAATATCTTTGTATTCTAGTTCAGTATGGGTTTTTCTCAGAAATGGATATTGAATTTTATAAAATGCATTTTGGGCATTTATTGATTTTTCTTTCCCTGATGTGGTGAATTATATTAATAGATTTCTGAATATTGAACTCTTTTTTTCATTCCTGAAATAAATCATTCATGGTTTTGATGCATTCTTTTAAAAATACTCTTCTGGGTTTGATTTGCTGGAATTTTATTAATTTTTGCATCCATAGTCACACATGATAAAAAGCAGTTCACTTTTTGGGCAGCCTTTGTTTAGTATTGGTATTAAGACTATAATTTCCTAAGATGAATCAGGGTGATCCCCACCCATTTCTTTGCCCTAATGGAATTTAAATTAGATAGGAAGCCTCTGCTCTTTTAAGATTTATTATTCACTTGTAAAGCTATCCAGATATGGAATATTTGGATAACATTATTTTTCTGTTTCATTTAAAGTTCTTTAAAATTTTATTTTGCTGCTTCTTGAGTAAATTTTGGTCATAGTTTATATAAAATAATCCATTTCGTGTGCCTTTAAAAAATTATTAGCCTGATTTACAATATTATTTTTATTGCTTAAACCTTCTACTGTGGATATGACATCCCATTCTCATTCCTGGTGCTGTGTATTCCCACTTCCTCTTTATTGGCCAATCCAGATGTTGGTTTCCTCATAGATCTTCTCACATAAGCCAGTTCTTGGATTTACATATTGGTTCTACTAACTTTCTTGTTTTCTGATTTACTGATTTTGTTTTTATACTCATTAATTCTTTTCCATAACTCTTCTTTGGTTTATTTTGTTCTTTATGTTTTTCTACAATAGAATAAAATGGATTTGATTATTTTCATATTTAATTCAATAATAAAGGCATTTAAGACTATGAATTTTTTTCTCTGAGTATAAATTTGGTCTTATCCCATACATTTTGACATGTAGTATTTCCTTTATTGTTAATTTCTAGGTAGTTTGCAGTTGCTGTTTTGGTTTTATTTTTATTCTAAAATAAAATAAACACACTCCGAGAGTGTGTTTTCTCATTTCTAAGTGTTGGAATTTGTATTCTTTTAAAGACTTGTTGATAATGTCTAGTTTTATTGCATTATGTTTAGACAATGTAGCCTACTTAATGTCTGTGTTGGGGATTTATTGAGATTTTCTTTGTGCCCTAGTAATATCATACTTAAATGATATATGGGTGTAGGCTCTATCTCTGGGACGTAGTATTTAATCTTCATCCTCATTTATTGTTTTTGATTTTATAAAGAATTAATGTCTCCCACTGTATTTGATTTCTGTTCATTTCTCTCTGTTTCTGATAGCTTTTGCTTTGAATATCTTGAAACGCTTTTCAAAGTATACATGTTTCTATAGCTATATCTTCATTATGGATTATGCCTTTAATCCATGTAAAATGACCTACAAAATGATCCTTTTTGTCCAAAAGAATATCCTTTTCCTTGGCTTCTACTTTGATCATGTTATGGCTCTATTTATCTTTTTGTTTATTTTTGCCTTGGCATACTTTTGATGGTCCCTTTATTTTTACCTGTTTTGTGTCACTTTATTGTAGTATTTGTTAGTTTTTGTAAATCTCCTATAGTACTGTCTTTGGCATCTGTTGCTGTAGCAGAGAAGTCTGAAACAGTCTATTATTGGTTCCTTTGTAGGTAACCAATTTTTTTTCTAGGTGCTTGTGGATTTTCCCCCTTACCCTTGTATTTCAAGACTGTGTCAGGAAGCATATCATATAATTGTAGGCTTTTCTTTGAATGGACTTTTCTCCCCTGAAATGCAGTAAGTTCTTTCAGTTTTTATATATATGTCTTTTTTTCAATTCTGAATTTTTTTCTTCTATTATACCAGTACTTATAGCTTATACGCCAGGTCCTCTGGTCTTTGTCTCCCATATCTATCATATTCTTTCTCATCACTTTCATATCTCTGACCTTATACTCTTCCTTTTGAGAGAGAAATAGGGCTGACCAGCATTCCCATCACCTCACTGACCAGCAGCTGCCAGGAAAACAGTTGGATGCCTGAAAATCTTGTTGGTGCACGCCAGGGTATCTGAGTCAGGGAATGTGGAGAGGGAACCTTTCACGTGTCCGGAGTTCAAGCCCGGAGAGGTTGTTCTTTGTCCATTTGCCTTAGAATTTTCTTTGCCTGGTTGGTTTTGGGTTTTTTTGGTTGTTTTGTTTTTGTTGTTTTTTTCTAAATAGTGTGTCCTTCAGGCTTAGCTTTCAGGGGGTTTGGTGGATTTTCATCTTTTTCTGTGTTTTCTTAGGTACTTTGAAATAATGGCCCAGTTAGATTTTCACTTTCGTGAGGATGGTCACAATAAGCGTTCTTTCTATGAAGACCCTGAGCACAGAGGACTGGGGACTCCTGTGGATCCCTCTGGTCTATTCTGGGCCTGTGGGTGGGTAGTCCTCATGGGGAAGCTCCACAGGGCTGGGGAGGGGACTCTTTGATACAGGACACAGAGGACATGACAGAGTGAGTATTTTCAGTCCTATTCTGGCCTCCTGCCATCTCTGGGGCTCCATAGTTATTTCTAAGAGAAGGATTCAAAGGACTCTGGGTCTGAAGGCTCTCCCAACAACAGCCTCCCTCCCTTCCAGCTTTGTCTGGGGGCCTTATGCTTTGGATATGCCTCCCAGCTTGCTGCAGGGGGTGAAGCAAAGAGGTAAATACTTATCTGGGGAACTAGAGAGGAGGCAGGCATCCCAGGTTGGTCAGTTTGAATTAGAAACCCTTGATTCTTGGGTTTCGTTGTTGCTCTTCTTGCCAGTTTAGCTGGGCCTTTGGACCACTTCTGTCCCTGTCAACTTCGTGTACTGGACACACGCACTGGAGGCATATCACCGTTGGTGGGCACAGGCCCTTTGGGGGCATCTTCCTGACATGGGGTGTTCAAGGCTTGCTCTGCTTGCTTTATGCCCCCAGTCCACCCTCATATTTGCAGCCCGTCTCGTCATTTCAACTAATGGCAAACCTGATAGAGGACATGCATCACGTGGTGTGACAGTGAGGTTTATAGAGCTGGTGGAAGCTTCCAAAGAGCATTGTAATCCATTAACGGTTTTAGTGGGAAGCTGGGAGAGACAGCATCAGGAGGCTCCCAGCCAGACATCATCTTAAGCCAGAACCCTTTCCTGTTGATTCTTTTAGCGTCTCCTAGACACTGATTAATTGGAGTTCTGGGGCTCAGATGCCCTCTTCTGCCTTCCTGAGGCACGCAGGCAGCGCTCATTGTGGTTAATGGGACGGACTGAGCGTCAGCTCCTAGACCCTCTGGGTGCCCTGACTATGCATGTCCTGACTAGGCTCATTTCCCTATTACTTCCACATCCCTCTGAGTTCCCCAAAAGAGCCATAACTAACCAAGGGACTGCATATCCAGAGGGGAGCAGATGTGGCCGCCCGAGGCCTCCAGCCCCTCAGCCAGCACAGCTACACTGACTTCTGGAAGTTCATGACTTGTCAGAAAAACGTGACGAATTTACTTCCTGGTTGACTTGACTTTCTGCCTGCCCTGTTTCCAAATTAGACAAAAAGTTATATTACATGGTATAGTTGAAACAATATAATGGTTAGTAATGTCTTCATTAAAACTGATAAAATATACTCATATTTCCACTCAGAAATTTATTTATGCTTTTATTCAATGTCCATCTCTAGGGTTTGTGGTCAGCTTGGCCTTCCGAGAAACTTTCGTTCTGTGGCCTTGAGTCTGGCCATGATTTTTGACCGAAAGCAATGCCATTCTTCCCCGAAGGAGCAGAGGACCTTATTGGGCACAGCTGTCCATTCTGTGGATTTTCTCCTCTGGAGTCAGGGTCAAAGAATGTTGAATTCCCTGAAGTCTCGTGTGTGCTTGTAGTGCCAGTGAGAATTTGAGAGGACAGGGGCAGGGCAGGGGAGGGCAGACGGGAGCCCCTGACCCAAAAGATGCCCTGTGCCCCTGCAGACTTCTCCATGATGACACCCATCAATGACCTCCACACAGCCGATTCCTTGAACCTGGCCAAGGGGGAGCGGCTCATGCGGTGTAAGATCAGCAGTGTCTACCGCCTCCTGGACCTGTACGGCTGGGCCCAGCTGAGCGACACCTACGTCACGGTAAGGAGAGCATTTGGGGGTGAGGCGGGGCAATGTGTGTGACCCCCACCAAATCCAAAGGGAGAACTCCTGATCTTTGGCATGGCCATGGCACTGCTGGTGGCCTTTGGCCAAAATTCAATGAGCCCTTCCAAGGTTTCTAACCACTGTGGTTTCCTGAGACAGATAACCTGCCCAGTGGGCACATCTCTGGATGAGGAGCCAGGAATTTCTGGATCCTATTTCTAGGGCTACCCTTGACCATTGGGAGATTCCTCCTGTAGTTCCATTTCCCCAGCTCCAAATAAAGCTGAGTCCTCTTCATCTCTTATGGGTCAGGGAGAAGTAAAGGTTCTTGGGGGGAAGATTTGGGTGCAGTGGATTTAGGGAAAGAGGGGATTCAAGCAGTATGGCATTGAAAACGACCCCTCTCCCTCCTTGCCTCTGAGAACACGTGTCTTTCCTCCAGTTGAGGGTCAGCAAGGAGCAGGACCACTTCCTGATCAGCCCTAAGGGAGTTTCTTGCAGCGAAGTCACAGCATCCAGCCTGGTGAGTACAGTCCGGCCTGTCACCACCCATTTCTTGCTGAAATGACAGTACTCTCTCTGCTCCTACAGTGAGAAGTCATCTCCAAGGTAGCCCCTGCCATCCTGTCCTTCTTGCAGTTTGCAATCTAGTGGGACAGAGAAGTCACATGGACACCAAAACAAACTGAGAGCGCAGAGCATGATGTGATCAAGAGACGAAATGGGAGGTGCAGGCTGCAAGCGCAGTGGGAGGGCGAGGGGAGAAGAGATGAGCCTGGAGGGCCCTGAGCCTGGGATTGGACAAAGGCTGGGAGTCGGGAAGCCTTCCAGCTGAGGGGATACATTAGAACAACAGCCAGTGCCGGTGCCCTGAGAGAGAGCTTCTGGACCCCCTTTCTGTTCTCCTGCCCCTTTTAGGCGTGGTAGGAAGAAACTTCCAGAATCGGTTTCGATCAGGAAAGATTTCTGGGTGCGGGGGTGAGGGGAGAGGAGAGCAGTCTAGGGACTGGCTTAGAAGCAGAAGAAGTCGAGTTCAGGTGCATTTTTACATTGACACAAAGTTGTTTTTGTCTGTGCTTAGACGCGATTAAGGAGTGGCTTTTGTCTTCTGTGTCACAGTCAAAAGTGGCAAAAGTCTCTGGGGATGATGTTCTATGAGATTGTTAATGTTAGGCAGTGCCATGGCTTAGGTATGTGCCAGGTCAGCCACAGCGACCAGCAGTTGTGTGTGTGTGTGTGTGTGTGTGTGTGCGCGCGCGCGCGCCCGCCCGTGCGCGTGCGCGTGTGTTTTCACCATGACACCCACAACCCCTTGGAGTCAAAAGCAGATTGTAAGACCAGTGACTGCTCTCCATGTGTCCTTTAAGACCTAGCTTTCGGGTGACTGGCAAATGGGTGTTCATTATATGATCCTCTTTACCTCTGTGTGTGATTAAAAATTTTTCAAATTAAAAAGTGGGAAAAAAAGGAAAAAGGCTCAGTTTAGATGTTCTTCCCTTTAATAGGAGGAATTAAGACTCCTCCTATCTGCTTCTAGAGAATTCTGTGAATGGTTCTCCTCTTGCACCTTGCTACTCAAAGTGTGGTCCGTGGACCAGCAGCAGGGCTATCACTGGGATCTTGTTAGAAATGCAGACTCTCAGGCCGAGTTCTTGGCCTACGGAATCCGATTCTGCATTTTGACAGGATCTCCAGGTGATTCTTTTTTTTAAATCAAATGTTTTTAAATTGGAGTACAGTCAATTTACAATGTTGCATTAATTTCTGCTGTACAGCAAAATGATTCAGTGATACATGTATATGCATTCTTTTTTTATATATTTTTTCCATTATGGTTTATCATAGGATATTGAATATAGTTCTCTGTGCTATACAGTAGGACCTTGTTGTTTATCCATTCTATATATAAAAGCTTACATCTGCTAACCCCAGCCTCCCACTCCATCCCTCCCCCAACCCCTCCCCCCCTTGGCGACCGCCAGCCTCTTCTCTATGTCCCTGATTCTGTTTCTGTTTCATAGATAGGTTCATTTGTGTCATATTTTAGATTCCACAGATAAGTGATATCACATGGTATTTGTCTTTCTCTTTCTGACTTACTTCACTTAGTATGATAATCTCTAGTTGCATCCAGGTGATTAAAGTTTGAGAAACTCTGCTCTAGCATTTTTCAATGCTGAATTATAATCGCCTTTGTTTCCCAGTAGCCTGTGTGCTCACCCTGCAGGCAGGAATGGGGTCTCTTGCCCCCCACATAAAGCACATCCATTGCCCGTGGTATGGTGGAGAGTGGACACAGGTGGGTGGGTGTGTGCCTGGCCCACCTGCGGGGAGGGGAATGAGGGGCCTCTGCCTGCTGGTGGCCGGAAGTCTCTCTTCCCCCCGGCCCAGATCAAGGTGAACATCCTGGGAGAGGTGGTGGAGAAGGGCAGCAGCTGCTTCCCAGTGGACACCACGGGCTTCTGCCTGCACTCGGCCATCTACGCTGCCAGACCCGACGTGCGCTGTGTCATCCACCTGCATACTCCGGCCACAGCGGCGGTGAGTGTCAGCTCTTCAGTCAGCATTTCAGTCCCCGAGGCTGGCGGCAGACCCATGGCACCTGTCTCTCTGAGGGTCTCCCTAGCCCCCAAGCTAGGAGCAAACTCACCATATAAAACAGTTCTGGAAAAATTCCCTGGAACTCAGAGCAAGGTGAGGAGGGGACACCCAACATGGGAACCTCCTCCTCTGCATTTTCTAACTATGGAAGTCTAGGTGAGGGGAGACAAGGTGAAGATGTGTAAAGTCTTCCCTGCTGCACCCCGCACCTGCTACATACGCAAACCGGTGCCACAGGCCCGGGTGACGGCACCTTCCGAGTGTCTGGGAACTGGGAGAGAGCAGAGGGAAGACCCTCAAGGAGCAAGTGTCCCCCAAGGGTCTCTGGGCATTTCTCCATGTCTACCTGAGATGCTGCGGTGCACCTGGAAAGACAGCAGACAACCAGTCTGGGTGTTCCCTCAACCCTCACCCCCAGGCCACATGCCTACAGGGGCAAAAAAGACCTGTCACTGGCCTGTGTTTTTCTCCGCAAATCACTCCAGTTATAAGCACTCAGACCTTCCAGAATTCGGACTAAGACTGCATGTTGTATTCGTGCCAAGTATCCATTTCTGCAGAGCCGGGGCTTACACGAGGGGCAAGATGAGTGAAGGGGGGTGAGCGGCTCTCCTAACCTCTCCACGCTCCTTGCTTTTAATAAAAGGCGGGGTTTGGGGCATGGCCGTTTCAGCCTGTGTTTTAACCCTGTTCTCTGGCACTTGCATCGCTCCGTTGCCGGTAAAATGCAGGCTTCTCAATGGGCCTCCCTGTTAGTGAAGAGTCGTGGCTGTTGATGCACTGACCCAAGGCTGAGGGTCTCGCGCAACCCACCCCAGGGACCCTGGACCCTGCTTCAGCCCAGCCTGGTGCCAACTCCACCAGCCTTGCCTCTTCCCGGGTCCTAGGACAAGAGCCAAGCAGGGGTGGACAGCAGCACGCCATCCCTTGAGCGTATGCTTTGCAGCAGTTTTAAAAGGTGATGTCTTGACATGGCAGCTGGGAAAAGTGTGACGAAAAGTCTTTAGAGGAAGCAGTGAGAAAGCAAGAGCCTCGCCAAGGCGGGGGTGGGGGTGTGGGGGGGTGCCTTTCTCGTGCGCTCGCTCCCTCCCCTGCCATGTCCCCAGACAGAACTTGACTGCTGCTCTGAGGCCAGGGCGACTGTGACAGAGGGGCGAGGAGCGGGGTGGAGCTGCTGCACCAAACATTCATTCCGTCGTCTCACTACAGGTGTCAGCCATGAAGTGGGGCCTCCTGCCTGTGTCCCACAACGCCCTGCTGGTGGGGGACATGGCCTATTATGACTTCAATGGCGAGATGGAGCAGGAAGCCGATCGGATCAACCTGCAGAAGTGCCTTGGACCCACCTGCAAGGTTCGGCTCAGCTGTTCTGGGAAGATGCTCTGGGTGGGATTGTCAAAACCCGACATCACAAGAGCGACAAATGTTCATTGGAAAATGTTTATAAGTTGCAGATAAACAGCAATAACAACAAATGACATAAAACTCTTTCACCCTACCCTGCGATTTGGGTGTACACCCCCATAACTATTCATATAGATTTACAAAACTAGGATTATAAAATATATTCTCCCTTTTCCCCTTAGCGATATACAGTAAACACCCTTGTATGTTACTAAATACTTTCTAATCACTAGTTTAAATTATACTTCATTGTATGAATGGCTGTGCCACTATTTACCTACACAGTCCTCTATGGTTGGACATTGAAAAGTTTTCCCCCAAATATTCTCTTAATATAAACAACTCTGTGATGAAAATTCTTTCAGCTACATCTTTGTATTTGCTTGGGATGATTTCCTTAGGATAAACTCCTAAGGATGCACATTTTAAAACTCTTACTTCATAGTACCAAATTGTCCTCTCCTTCGGCCATGACTAGTACGTGAGAATGCCATTTCCCTACAGTCTCCCCAAACTTGACTGTTACCACTTTTTTTGCTTTTGCTAACTTGATAGAGATAAACAGAATCTCATTATTATTGCTTGATTTAAGTCTGAAGGCCTCTTTTATAACAGCATGTAATTAGGGCTGTTGAGCTTAGGATGGGAAGTTTCATAGCCAAGCCTGGGTGGATGCGCGCTTGCCCCCTTCCTTGAAAGGCACTCACTCCCGGAGTCATTTTCCATCTGAGAGTCCTTGTCTTCCCATCTCTCACATAGAGCAGAAATCCCTGCCACCCTCTCCTGCCATTCTCTGAAGCCTCATTAGCAGTGCCAGGAGAGGGGTGATGTTCACAGTTGTGAAATGGTACAAAAATTTAAGAGATGGGGCGTTCACAAAAGATCTGCAAAATCTTGTGAGCAAAAGTCACGGTCTCTTTCCATCTCTCTGGGCTCTTGAGACGAAAAAACTCCAGCTGTTTTCAGCAAGAGTGGATGTGAAGAATAAGCCACTGGGCCTCAGCCCAGGTGCCGCAAGGACAGATCTGATACGTGGGTCTGTGGCCCGACTCCCAGGTGGGTGTCACCTAGGTATCTTTCAGAGAGTTCTCAAGGATAAAACCAACCAAGAAGAGTTTCCAACAGGGAGGGTGCACCTGGACCTTGGTATAAATTCATTTCTGTTTTTTTCCCCCTTTTAGATCTGCCTGCCCCTGGCTGAGCTACAAACATTGCTCCATCAGGGACAGCCTGGGTTCTGGGTCCGACTCTGCCCCTAATTAACTGGGAGACTTTCAATTTCTTTAGGCTTCTCTTTCCTCATTAGTAAAACTAGTGAGTTAGATTAGAAGGTCGCTGTGGCCTCTTTCATGGAACTGTAGGATCTTAGAGCTGCCAGAGCCTCACGGAATTCGTGGAGAGGAAGCCTGAGGGCCAGAAAACAGGGGACCCAACTCACCTGTGTCTGCAGAGACACCTCTCAGAGGACCACCCGCTTGGGTTTGACTCACAAGTCCACTGAGTTACAGGTGGGCAAGTGCTTTTGAGGTTGGACCCTTGTATTCAACAGCAAGTAATTTCATTCACTTTAACACAAACATTCGTTTTTCAGACTTTAAGCTCTTCAGGGCCTAAAAACCCAGGCCTTGCCCAAAGAAATCCACCAAGCTATTCAGTCTCGGTTTTCAAAAGCATCTTCAATTTTTTAGGGTGGATGCTTTAAACGTTCGTTTGGGTGGATATTAAAACTCATGGGGTGGGTGGGTAGCATTCGGTGTTTGTACAGGGAGAATGAGTAAGCAATTGGGGAGGGGCGTGTGCTCTAGGATTGGATATGAAATTGATCTGAATAAAATGAAAAATCTCTCCCTCTTAACTCAAGTTTGGAAGGCTTAAAGTTTTAATTGGCTGTCTGCTCCTGTGCAGATCCTGGTGCTAAGAAACCATGGAGTGGTTGCTCTGGGTGACACCGTAGAGGAGGCGTTTTATAAGATCTTCCACCTGCAGGCTGCATGTGAGATACAGGTGAGCAAGTTCCTCTGGGGTGTGGGCCCAGGAGGGACCCTGACAGGGGCCTGGGGACAAAGGTGGCAGCCCCATGGGCCGTGATTTAGGGAGACCTTTGAGTGGGGCCCTCTGAAAGCCTCACCCTATTTCTCTGCCTTGGCACCACCTGATTCTTCTAAAGTTTCACATTTGGAATCAGTTTTGTAGCTTTAAAATTTTCTACCGCCATTGTCTAACAACAAGCACCCAACTCTTGGGGATCAGTGCTCAGGAGGGGGAGCGGCCTGGGCTCATCATAGGACAGTGGGAGGAACTGTACTTCCCATGCTCCTGTATAACCTGGCGTGTGTACCTGTTACCTCTAGCTGTGCCCCACAGACACCACACAGGTAAGTCTTCTTTCCTTTCTTTGTTTGGAGAAGGGTAGTTTGCAAAGACCATGAATGTGGTCAAGTCCAGAAAGAGAAGTGGAAAGGCCAAAGTAGAGTGTTGACATGGCAGGCCTGACCCCAGGGAAGCCCCAGGGTGATGTCCAGGGAGCCCATGGTGAAGTTCTCCTAACTGGTAAAGGATGAGATAGAGGGTGGGTGGGGAGTGTCAGTAGCCGTGGGACCCCTAGAAGACTTGATGGAGAAGCAATAGGAAAACACACATCCTGTAGTTTTATCAAATTACCAGGTAGTGTTGGATAAGCCAAGCATATGCTCCTTCCAGTGTGGCAAGCCGTCAGGTGAGTAGGAGGGTCTTTCACAACTGACTGGGCTCCATCCTTCCCAGCCTGCACTCTGTGCTCTTGGGTCAGGGACTCGCCCTCTGCAAGCCTCCATTTCCTCAACCTCAGACCTGGGTCTAGAGAGACCTTGTGAGGATGGCCTTTCAGACAAGGAGAGGTGTTGCCGATGGTATTTCTAGGACTCGGTTGACAGAGGGAGAGGCTAGCTGCTCCAGGGTGAGTCGGCTCTTTGCAGGGCCCTTCTGGTGTCCCATCTGCCCTCTCCTGGCTGGTCTGGGCAGAGCAGTGCCCCGAGGAAGATGGCCTGCCGCTCTCTTGGGCGTTATGGGGGAGGAATGGCATAATCCCAGAAGCATCACTAGTGGAGGCTCTACAAGTGGGATCTTTCTCAATGGTTTTTGAAGGATATGTTGAGAGGACAGTGATGAAGAAATGTTAGAGGAGGTGGTGTGAGACCCTCCTGACTCCCCATTCAATAATGCTGGCCCTGAGCTCTGACCCCTGAGTGTTGTTAGAACCTGGCAGAGCCTCTGATATGCCTACTTTCCCTTCTCCACATCTGAAGAGTTGCCCATCTTTCTTCTGAAGAAGAGGCTTCCATGAGAAAATATCTCATGAAAAAGAATGAATGGAGAGAGGTTCCCGGGTGTCCCCCACCACCACACGGTGAAGGATGCCTTCCCCAGGCTCCAGATCCCCAGAAATGGCCACTGTGCAATTTAAGCAAAGGGAGGATGGCCATCTAGCAGCTGGGGAGATGAAGGGCAGAGCTGCCAGCCACTTTCCCGGATGGCCCCAGCTGCTTCTCTTGGCCCTGTCTGCTGTCACTTTCTTTTCAGTCAGGACTGGTTTGATGTAACCTTTTAAAAGCGCATCAGGCGATGGGGACAGATAACCCCAGGAAAGCGCCAGTGGATTTTTTTCAGCAGGTGGAGCAGGAAGGCTTCTAGAGGGTGAAATGAAACTGGAAGTTGTGGGAAAAAAACGGGAGAGATTGGACCAAGAGTGTGGGTGCATTAAGGCTCGGAAGAGCCCAGGTACGGCAGCCTGCAGATGCTGTTCGGACTGCAGTCCCTGGAAGGGTCATTTCTGGTCAAATGACCAGCACCGAAATTCTGTTTCCATCATGACTAGTGTCCTCCCTCAGTGGCCTTGGCAAACAAGCAAATGCATCTGTGGTCATTTCAGCGGTTCAAGGCTAAGAGCCTATTCCATTCTCCTGGGGACAGCGTTCTCTTTGCTCCCCATCAGTTTGGGGTTCCAGGAAACTGGGTCATCCTCTGCTGAGAGAGGCAGCTCCCTGCTCTGTTCACAGGCAGATGAGAAGCTCAGGCGATTCTCCATCTGCTACCCATCGCCATGGAAACGGATGGGGGAAGGGGGAGGTGAGAGGAGGCAGCTCTTGCAAGGGTGTGGGCAGTTTTCTCCTCCTCTATGAATGACCAGTCTCCAGGGGGTATTGCTTCTCAGCCTTTCATGGTAAAACCTCAGAATTTATTTACCATAAATGTTTCTATGGCACTCTGTACGCACCAGGTGCTATTCTAAGTGCTTTACAAATATTACCTTAAATAATCCTCGCGAGGTAGATACTATTTTCATTTTACAGATGAGAAAGCTGAGGCACAGGGAGGGTAAATAGCTGCTGAAAGTCACACAGCAAGTAGGTGGCAGAGCCAGGATCCAAACCCAGACAGCCTGGTACCCAGGTCCTATGTCCTAAACACTACATTGCACTGCCTCTCAGGAAGGCAAGCGTCGGTGGGAAAGGTCAGCTGTCAGGTTGGGACCTCTCTTCAGGGAGTTGGCACTTCAAGTCAGGGTTTCAGGGTCCCAGAGCTCGAGCCCTGCCTTGGCCAGGTAGGGGTCCAGGATGAACTTGGTAATTGATCAACCAGCTGGGATTCACTAGCTTTGAGAGTGCGTTTCCAGGTGCTCAGCCTTCCAGGTGCCAGGTGTGAGGGACTTCAGAATTAGAAAACACGGGTCAGCAGAGGGCAGAACTGGGACCAGTGAATGAACATAATAAAAAGGTAGATTTCAACTCAGGGTAATCTATATCAACTCACTGTAACCCTTCTAACATTTGGACAACAGTATAATAGGCTGCCTTCCCAGGCACGGAGCTGACCACTTCTAGGGATGCTAGACAAGGACTCATTTTGGGTGAGAGAATGGAATAAAAGGCCTCGAAGTCTCTATATTTGTAGGGTGTGGAGTCATCTTTTTAAGATAAAAATGGAGGCTTCCATAGGACACCTGCCTCGGATGAAGAGAGCATGGAAATGCTTGTTGTTGCTTCTTCCTCTTCACAGAGTGATGGGGGTCACCTTGGAAACGCTGCCTGGCTGACCTCTAGGAAGTCTCACAGGGGCCACGTGTTACACTGGTGAATTTAACACACTCTGGAGTGTGTCCAGGATCCTCGTGTGTTCATAGACCTGTGTTTGTCAGCAAGCTACACTGCATTCTTTTCATTTTCAGTGAAACAATAACTGGCACAAAAACTGGAACACTGAAAGTTTATATAATCAGAGCCGTTCCCCCATAACAAGCAGGTTTACATGGGATATCAAATATTAATCAGAATGCTGGGGTCTTGATGTGCAGTGTAAAACTCCAGCTTCACTACCTACAATACTTGGAAAGCACCATCTCTCTCTGGACTTACCCAGGAAGCCAAACCATGACCAATTATATCTGAGTGGCAGATACAGGGAGTAAATAGAATGTGCTTTTAGATGAGCATGGAATTAGAAAATAAGATTAGTTGGATTCATGAATGTTTTTAGGATTGTTCTAAAACTGCACTTGCCCTAAAAGTCAGAGTCCGTTGCCTGTAGCCACCTGGATTGTCCCCTCCCCATGGAGCCTTGACAGTGGGACAAACGCTCTAAGTCTTCTGGTAAAAGCTTCCTAAGGCCTACACAGTGCCCGGCTGTGACTCAGCATTTCATGTGTCTCCTCTCTCTGGGCTTCCTTGACTGGATAACGCCATCATGGAGGGTCTTCTGCCTTTAGACCTGTTAATTCAGCCCAACATGCAGCTACACTCATATTTCACTGGCCTAGAAGGCAGCTTATTTCTTTCAAGTGACTTTTTTTTTTTCTAAGGGGAAATATTTCAGACATACAGAAAAGTGCAGAGTCATATAATCGACACCTGCTACCAACCAGATTTAACAAATATCAATGGCATTTTCCTCTGGAAGAAGTAAAATGTTACAGACAAGAATTGAAGTCCCCTTTTCTCATCTTCCCTCCTTCCCCAGAAATAATCACAATTTGAGGTTGGTCTGTGTCCCAGGTAATTTTTCAGTACTCTGCATTGCTTTATTCTTAAGGTTTAACACTTGCTATGTCCCCCTAAGAACTGACATTAGGAAAGAAATACTAATACCTCTTTCCCTGGAAATGGGCACATGCCCTACAAGTTTGGAGGGGCTTTCCTCTGGGAGGAAAAAACCAACTACAGCTCAGTTTTCCAGACATTTCTGTTTCTAATCTTCCCCGATCTCCATTCTCTGTTACACAGAGGAGCACAGGTACACGCGCAGGGATGTGTGTGTACACACGCACACCCGTGTGTGTGAGCTGAGCGTTCTCTGCCCTTTGCGCAGGTGTCTGCTCTGTCCAGCGCGGGGGGCGTGGAGAACCTCATCCTCCTGGAGCAGGAGAAGCACCGGCCTCACGAGGTGGGCTCCGTGCAGTGGGCGGGGAGCACCTTCGGGCCCATGCAGAAGAGCCGGCTGGGGGAGCATGAGTTCGAGGCCCTCATGAGGATGCTGGACAATCTGGTGAGTCTCCTGCCGTTGTCCTTCCAGGCCAGTCCTTTGTGGCTTAGCTCCCCCAAAACCAGTCCATATGAAGCATTCGGTGGGCGTGAGAACTGCCAACATCACAGTTAATTTGTTAAAGCCCCTTGATCGGCCACTTGACTTAGAGTTTGTGGTCATTCTAATAGTAGTTGAGTTTTCTCAAGTGGTGGCCTTTGCCACCCCTTTTCCAAGGGCTGTGGTTGTTATCATACCTGCACGGTGCTCTTTAGAGAAGGGGTAGGAAGCCCTTGGTTGGTATGAGAGGTGGTAATCCAGCAAAAATCAGCACCACAGAGCCTCTCTCATATTGTAGCTTTGTTCACTCCTCTTTTGCAGTTAGTTCTGCCTTTCTTTCTTGTCTCATGACTTTAACGCGGAAAACACATAATGCCATTTATTTCCCTGTTCCTGGCGAGCAGCATTATAACAATATCCTATTGTAACGAATGAATCAATCAATCAGGTAGGGCGTTAACTGGTATATGTCCAGGAGTGGGCTTTAAAGGATCCAAAGAATTATAAGACATCCTTCCTTCTGGAGCTAACAATTTAATTGATGATATATGACGTAAATATGAGACAATTCAAGAATAAGAAGAAAGCATATACGGTGGGGAGCTAATTGCAGGAAGAGACTCTGACTTCTTAGATTGCTCGAAAAAGCGAAGATGAAACCTACCTCTGTCACATTTCTGTATCATTTACCTCCCCTCCCCCTCACTGCTACTACTTTGGACCCTCTCTTTGTTGTGTCTGGGTCATTGCAATAATCAATCCTTTCCTTCTGCCCCCAGTTCCTCCAAATCACTTCCACTTTATTACCAGGCTGAGCATGAGGGTCACTTTATAATGGTGAAAGGTACACTCCACAATGAAAATACAACTCCTGTTAACATTTGTGTAACTGTGCCTAAATAAAGCACCAGGACCAAGTGGTTTCATGCAGAAATTCTTTCAGACCTTTAAGAGACAGGCTATTCTTATGCTATTTAAACTGTTACAGATAAGAGTGAAAGAAGGAAACCAAACCATAACAATTATAACACATTCAGACCAATCTCACTTTGAGTTGATGAAAAAGGCTGCATGAAAACTAGCAAATAGTATCCAGCATAACATTAGAATAATAATACACAATAACCAAGTGAGGGCTCATTCCTAGTATTGAAGGATGGTTTAATATTATAAATCTTTTAAATATATTTCATGATATCAGTGAGTCAAAAATATAAACCTTCTGATCACTTTGAGATCAAAAGTTATTTGATAAAAATTTAATATTGATTTATAAAAATAATAGCTGTTAAGTAGGATAGGAAGCCATTTACTTAACATGATTAAAATGATTTTTTTCTCAAAACACACACCAGTATCATGGTGAAACACTAGAAGAATTTCCATTAAATTTTGAAACAAAACAATGAAAATATAATGAGAAAATAATCCTATTTGCAAATGCAGCAAAATCAAACTTTAAGCAGAACCCCTTTAAAGACAACTGTAAAATTTTACCAATAGACATCAGAGAAAACCTGAAATCAGTGAAGAGCTATAATTTATTCTTGGTTAAAAGCTTCAGTAGGGTAACTTTTCCAAATTAATCAATAAACTCAATGTAATTTCCTCAAAAGTGGGGGAATGTATAAGGACTGAGCAAAATGTTCTTTCAGGTGAAATTCAGAATGGCTCGGAAAATCCTATAAAAAGAAGAGTGGGGTTTCCCTGGTGGCACAGTGGTTGAGAGTCCGCCTGCCGATGCAGGGGACACGGGTTCGTGCCCCGGTCCGGGAAGATCCCACATGCCGCGGAGCGGCTGGGCCCGTGAACCATGGCCGCTGAGCCTGCGCGTCCGGAGCCTGTGCTCCGCAACGGGAGAGGCCACAACAGTGAGAGGCCCGCGTACCGCAAAAAAAAAGAAAAAAAAAAAGAGTGATTACCACCACATGGTACAGTGTGATAAGGCTTGAGTCACTAAAGGGTGGAACACTAGTCCAGAATGCACAGGCCAACCAATGCTACAGCTTAGAGAATCCAGAAATAGATCCCAAAGGCATGAAAATTTAACACAGGATAAACAGCCATCTTATAAATTTGGGGGAAAAAGATAGACTGTTAGCCATCTGGGAAATAAAACTAAGGTGGATTACTACCTTGTCCTTTCAACAAGATAAATCCCTGATTTGTCAAAAATTTAAACATGGAAAGGAAATTGATATAGGTATTTAAAAACATAGATTAATAGTTTTAATGCTCTTGTGTTGGGAAAGACCTTGTCAAGCATGGCAGGAAAGTCTGAAATCGTGATGCCAAATATTAACAGATATGATTACATTAAAATTCAAAATTTGTATTTTTATAAACCACCCCACCCACCATATAAACAAAGCTAAAAGACAAAGTATGGGGAAAATATTTGCTACATCTGTGTCAGTCAAAAGATTCATATCGGGCTTCCCTGGTGGTGCAGTGGTTGAGAGTCCGCCTGCCGATGCAGGGGACACGGGTTTGTGCCACATGCCGCAGAGCGGCTGGGCCCGTGAGCCATGGCCGCTGAGCCTGCGCGTCTGGAGCCTGTGCTCCGCAACGGGAGAGACCACAACGGTGAGAGGCCCGCGTACCGCAAAAAAACAAAAACAAAAACAGATTCATATCTTTACTGTAAAAGGAGGTATTACAAATCAATATGAAAAAGATGACCATCACAATAGAAAAATGAACTGAGAACCCAGTTTACAAAGGAAGATATTCAAGAAGCCATTAAGTGTAATTAAAAATATCCAGTCTTACTAGTAATCCAAAAAGAACAAAACAAAAGAAGAGGATATTACTTTTAACCCATCTGATTGCCAAGGATTTTTTTTTTAATTTTTAAAAAATCCTTTAAATTTCAGTTGAAATTCAGAATGGCTCAGAAAATCCTATAAAAAGAAGAGTGGGGCAATATTCAGTGCGGGGGAAAGGAGACGAGAACTGGGAACTCCAGCACAATTGGCAGAAGTGTAAATTGGCTCAGTGTTTTGGGAAGACGGACATGATAAATATATAAAAACTTATACTGTACTCCCTTTGACTCAGTCATTTTCATTACTAGGCACTTATGTTAATTGCCTAAAGAAAAATGTGTAAAGATACTCATTTCAGGGTTGTTTATAATATTTTGAAAATAACAGTGTCCACTGGTATTGGTTAGATAAATTATGATATGTCCATTCACTGGCATATTATGTAGTTGTTTAAAGGTTGCTGTGTATTTGTAGGTTCAATAACATGAAAAAAACTCCAAGACACATTGATGAGCTAAAAGCATCTTATAAAGCTGATTATGTAGCATTATTATTTACAATAGCCAAGGTATGGAAGCAACCTAAGTGTCCACTGATGGAAGAATGGATAAAGAAAATGTGGTACTTATATATGATAGGATATTATTCAGCCATAAAAAAGATGGAAGTCTTACCATTTGCAACAATATGGATGGACCTTGAGGGGATTATGCTAAGTGAAATAAGTCAGACAGAGAAAGACAAATACCGTATGATCTCATTTATATGTGGAATTGAAAAAACACCCTCAAAAACCAAAAATCAAAAAATTCATACTCATAGATACAGAGAACAGATTGGTAGCTGCCAGGTGGGAGGCAGAGAGAAATGGGTACAGGGGTCAAAAGGTGCAAACTTCCATGTATAAAATAAGTAATCCTGGGGATGTAATGTACAGCATGGTGACAATAGTTATTAATACTGTATTATATATTTGAAAGTTGCTGAAAGAGTAGATCTTAAAAGTTCTCATCACAAGAAAAAGAATGGTAACTATGAGAGGTGCTGGATGTTAATTAGACTCGTGGTAATCATTTCACAATACATACAATGTTTTTTTCATTGAGGTATAGTTGATTTACAACGTGTTAATTTCAGGTGTACAGCAAAGTGATTCAGTTACACATATAATACATACAGATATTGTATCACTATGTCGTACAACTGAAACTAATGTAAAGTTACATGTCAATAATATCTCAATTTTTTTAAAAGCTGCTTATGTGGTACAGTCCATTTATATACTGTTTTATATATATTATATGATGCATTAATTATATAGTCTGTATATTTACATACATGCATTTGTATATGTGTGCTTAGAGAGATGACTGAAAGGACTTTTAGTGGTTGTCTCTGGGGATGAGATTTTGCATAAAACCCACTTTTTCCTTATGTTTTTTATATTGCTTAATTTTTCTACATGGCTCTGTACTTTTTTTGTAATCCACTTTCTTTTTTTTTTTTGCGGTACACGGGCCTCTCACTGTCGCGGCCTCTCCCGTTGTGGAGCACAGGCTCCGGACGCGTAGCCTCAGCGGCCATGGCTCACGGGCCCAGCCGCTCCGCAGCATGTGGGACCTTCCCGGACCGGGGCACGAACCCGCGTCCCCTGCATCGGCAGGCGGACTCTCAACCACTGCGCCACCAGGGAAGCCCCAATACACTTTCTTTTTAATGCCACTTTAATTTTAAAAAAGATGACAGGTAGAGCCGAGAATTGCTCCAGCAGCTGTTAAGATTCCCGAGTGTTCATTCTGAGTAACAGTCCGCCTTTGGGGGACATGGTCTTGCTTAGGAGACAGGGATGTTCTTGAGTCAGAGTTAGGGCTCCCAAGAGAAAAATAGTTAAGAAGCCTCAGAGTCGAGGAAGGGAGGGCTACTGTTAGAATCAGCTGTGAAACTTTTAAAAATCCTGTAGCCCAGATTGCACCACTGTCCAGTGAAATGGGGAACTCTGAGTTGAGCCCAGGCATACACATTTTTAAAGCTTCCGCATGATTCTGTTTTGTTGAGAGCTACTGGACCAGACCAAAAGCTGGAGCTCTGTCTGGTCCACAAGATTCTGGGAACTTTCTCATCCCTGATCAGAGGGCTTGTTGGGGTGGAGGAGGGGAGGGGTTGGGGGACCAAGACAGGGAACAATTCTGAAATACACCAGAGGTGCGGCAAGGCCTGGGTTGTATTACAGAGACTTTGGGTTAAACTGAGTCCTTTAGATGGAAGGGGGTAAAGCGTGTGAGCGGACGAGCAGGCATGTACCTGACCATTTTCCCCACCACATGTGGTTCTATTTTTGTCCTTTTTAGGGTTACAGAACAGGCTACACCTACCGCTACCCCTTTGTTCAAGAGAAAACCAAACACAAAAGTGAGGTGGAGATTCCAGCCACGGTCACAGCCTTCGTGTTTGAGGAGGACGGCACCCCGGTGCCCGCCCTGAGGCAACACGCCCAGAAGCAACAGAAGGAGAAGACCCGCTGGCTCAACACGCCCAACACCTACCTGCGGGTCAACGTGGCCGACGAGGTCCAGAGGAGCATGGGTAGCCCCCGGCCGAAGACCACGGTAAGGAGGGCAGAGGGGGCTCCGCTGGGGAGATTGGGGTGGAAGGAGAGTGCCCAGCTACCTGTACGGGCTAAGCAGCTTTAAAAGGGAAACAGCAAACCTCCCCTGGGCCTGCACTAGTCCTGTCTCCCCCTAAGGCTTCCTATTGGGCATCTGGGAGCAGCTTCTCCTGCCTACGGAGCAGATCACCTGTTTCTTGCACCCCTATGCTGAGTTTTGGGTCCAGAGGGTGGCTGGACCAGGTCACTCCCAGCAGCATGAAAGCTTTTTGCTCCCATATCTGAAAGGGGCTTCTGGGAAATTCAAGGGAGGGGTACCCAACATTTGAACTGACCATCTGATGCAAAACCAGAAGGTGCATGGGGTACTTGCTTCTATTACATTGTCCACTCCCTTTATAACCCTCTTCTGTAGAGAGGTGCTTGCTTTAGACATTAGATGCGTGAGACCTGCCCACAGATTGAGTTTTTACAAATTGTATGCTCTTTTCCTCTCTCTCCCTCATCACACACCCTGGCTCTTAATTTGATTTTCACTAACAAAGTAGCTGGCAGCCAAATAGAATAGCTCTTCGTTTAAAAAAAAAAAAAAAAGCCCTGCAAATTAACATCCATGAGTCATCTAATACTACAACACCAGTGGCTGCCTGTCTGTCAAAGCTGGCACCACGGCTCTGTCCCTCCTCTTAAGTGTTCTTTATGGCCATTGATCTGGGGCCTTCCTTTGGTTGCTGGGTCATTTGCTGCCCATCTCTGCTCTGGGAGACACACATCAAAGAGGCCCAAGACGAGGGAAAGTGTTTGTCTAGGCTTGCTGACTTGCACGTAGGCTGGTCGGCCCAGATCTCATGGGGTGGACCACTAGGGTGGACGGTGAGCCATATGCCTTTGCCTTACCCACCGGGCCTTGTGTGTGTTCAGTGGATGAAGGCTGACGAGGTGGAGAAATCCAGCAGTGGCATGCCCATACGGATCGAAAACCCAAACCAATTCGTGCCTCTGTATACTGACCCCCAAGAAGTGCTGGACATGCGCAACAAGGTAAGGGGATAGCTAATTACCTCCCATCTTTTCTCCCTCAAGGGCGTGGGGGGGATCCCCAGGATGCGCCTGACTTACCGACATCCCAGATACCTCTTATGGAAAAGAAACTACCATTTATTGGCCATATTCCAGGCACAGTGCTAAGCGCTGTGCTTTTGTAGTCCTGTGTAACCCTCAAATAGAGAGGTGCTAGCTTTAGACATTAGATGTGTCTAAGAGACCAACCCGCAAATCAAATTTTTACAAATTTTATACTATTTCCCTTTGGCTCATTTTCAAGATTGCAAAATCCTTTGTGTTTATTTCTCTACCTCTGCTTTACAGTTCACTCACTTATATTTCTAATGTTACTTTAAAAACTTAACTTTTAACAGACCACCTTCAATAGGTCGGGTATGTTCCCAGAACAGTGTTTCAGCGTGTGGTCCTCTGAAGGGCAGATTCCTGGGTCACTCCCACCCCTCTTCCCATGGGACTGAGATTCAATATGCACGGGGTGGCCCCCCAGGAATCTGTAGTTTAAACCAATTCCTCAGGGACTTCATAGGAATATTAAAAATTGAGAATCTCCCTCAAGGATCTACTATGCCTCATTTCCCTCTTCATCTCAATGACCTGCTCATGGTTAATGAGAATCTGGTGTTCTACATAAACTTCTCATTCATTCTGGAGCAGACGTGGAGACAGACTGTCTCAGAGTGGATGTGATGCGTTACATCTGCACCCCTGGGCGGCCTTTCTAGTGTGCCCTGGGGATGCTCCCTGCCAACTCCACACCCTGATGCTGGACAGCTACCTCACCCTCCCCATCCCTTTCTACACAGATTCGAGAACAAAACCGACAGGATGTGAAGTCGGCGGGGCCTCAGTCCCAGCTGCTGGCGAGTGTCATCGCTGAGAAGAGCCGAAGCCCGGTACAGCAGACGCTGCCCTTGTCTGGAGGGGAAACGTGTTTGCCTTCTGGGTCTGCAGTGCCTGGGGCCGGGCAGCAGGACCCCTGAGTCCTTATAGGCCCACCTTCCCCTGTGATCTTGGGCACTGGTGCTCTTGCTGCAAAATGGATGCTGTGAGGACTGGGGACAGTATCTCATCGCCTCCCGTGGGCGCCAGGCAGGGGAGGAGTAGCCCAGCCTACCCACGGGAGTGATGCGGCTTCTATGCCTCCCCCTGGAACTCCCCTCTGCCCTCTGTCAGTGTCCCGCAGAGTGACCTCTCAGGAGCGCGGCTGGCCTCTCCCAGCGGCTCTAGGCCTGGCTGCCCTAAGCGGCTCTGGCCTCTGTGCGTGGAAACAGCACCATCAGGCCGTAGCTCTGGGAAGATGCTCACAGGCTCTCAGAGGGCAGACATGTATATAAGGACCGGTACTCCTACAGGATGGGAAGGGGCAGTGAGTTGCCCACACAAATACACGTAGAGTTAGAAAATATAAAGTTGTTCCCCTGCTTGAGATAGAACAGATTTTGTTTAGTGCTTAGCAAAAGGGGTGAACGTCAGACTTCTGGCTTGTGTTGGAAATCATTGCAAAGTAGCAGTGGCATCTTCCTTAGCAGTAAGGGCAGGGGCAGGGGATACAGGGACCATTCCTCTCTGTAGAGCAAACTGAGGTGATGTCATGACTGCAGATCAGGCTGCAACCCACCAGGTGGGTGCCCCTTGGCAGGGGAAGTGTGAAGGTTATGTCATCACCTCCACCCCACCTCAGCTGAGCCAAGAGGAGGAACATCAAATGTGCTACAGGGTCAAGGATAGAAATACCCCACGATAATGGGGGGAGGTGGCAGTTCAATACTGGGATCAACATTGTTAAAAACTCTGCCATTTGTACCGAGTGCTCTCCTTGGAGTCCCTCTTCTTGGGATCCTGGTCTTGGACTTTTTTGAACGCCATGATTCCTTAAGATAGGCCCAGTGCTGCCTTCTTTTGGAAGGAGCCCATGGGCCCATCACCAGAAGACTTGATGAGCCAGAGACAGATGGCCTGGAGTGTGTGGTGTGGGCCAGCTGCCCAGGCTCACATCCCCACCCCCCTCACTTTCTTTGACTCCTTGGCTCCAGACCACTGAATTCCCAAAGGCTGAGATGAGGTTGCTGAGTTAGGATAAAGGACTATGGAGTCTGAGCTGTCCCGAGCTAGAGGGATCAAAGGATTCCCGAAGCTTACACAAGGCCCAGCTGGTGAGCTCCCCAGAGCCAAGGGCTCCCCAGAGGGGGTGAAACACAGTGATTTTGCCAATGTCCCTTCAGGGACCTGCAGTACAGGCGGGTTGAATATCCAAGGTTCAGGACCTTGGCCCCCTTGTTATTTATGACTGTGTGCAAAACAGGACTAACAGTTTGGACTGAGAACGCCAAAGCCACTGTGTGTTTTGCATATGACTTACTGCTGGGTGCTGTGGCTTGTGCTGCTGGTGCGGGATGGTGGGGTGCATGGCGGGGAGCGGCTGGCGTGACACTGGTTGAGCCAACGCTTTGCATGCTGGGTTTTGGCTGACTGACTGTGGGCCGCCAGCTGTATTTGCACAGTGACGGCTTGCAAGCGTCCACAGTAGAGATCGCAATAAAGGTGTGTCTTCCTTCTGCTTGGGAGCATTCTTTGATTTTATTTCTGGGGCAGAGGGAGGACCCCCTGCGTTCATCCAGGCAGTTACAAAGAAGTCGGGTCTGGGGGGTGAGGTGTAGCTGTGGGACGGAGTGAACAACCCCTACCCCAAGGCCCCGAGCTGTTGCCATGGAGCTGCATGCCACGCTGTCGCTAGCAAGACCACTGGCAGCCCCATGAGTCTGAAAGGAAGCTCGGGCCTGGGCCCCGACTGCGGCGTTCAGAGAGCGACACACTCTGTGGTTAACTTTCAGTCCACAGAGAGCCAGCTGATGTCCCGGGGCCAGGCGGATACCAAAGACGAGGCCGAGGAGATAGCGCCCAACCCCTTTAGCCAACTCACGGATCAGGAGCTGGAAGAGTACAAGAAAGAGGTGGAGAGGAAGAAGCTAGAACTTGATGGTAAATAACCCCCGGAAGCTGGTGCTTCAGGACCTCCCAGGCGGAGGGGAGAGCTCGAGGCACCCAGAGAGGCAGCAGAGCAAACCATGGCCCTCACTCCCCGCCAGCAGCCCTGGACCCCCTTCCTTGCTGCCTGTCAGGGCCCCCAGGGCTCAATCCAGCCTTGTCTCGCTTTCCTTTTCAATCTTCATTTGCTTCTCTCTGTCTCTTCTCTGTCATGTCCTCACTTTGACCTTCCTGCTCCATCAGCAAATAATATCCTCTTTTTTTTTTTTTTTTTTTTTTTTTTGCGGTACGTGGGCCTCTCACTGTTGTGGCCTCTCCCGTTGCGGAGCACAGGCTCCGGACGCGCAGGCTCAGCGGCCATGGCTCACAGGCCCAGCCGCTCCGCGGCATGTGGGATCTTCCCGGAACGGGGCACGAACCCGTGTCCCCTGCATCGGCAGGTGGACTCTCAACCACTGCGCCACCAGGGAAGCCCAGCAAATACTATTCTTATCAGCATGATTTTGTTAATCACAACAATGCCCCTCATGGCTCGTGCCTGACAGTTACACGGTGCTGCCGCCATGACCCCACTGACCCTCTCACCTGGGAATAAGGAGTTAATCCGTGAGGAGTACCTATGAATATGGCCTAGGTCAGTAGACACCAGACAGATGTTAGCTGTAATAATATGTTCATTATAATAGTGATCATAATTACTGATGATCTATCAGATGTGGTATAAACCGCTTAGCCGGGCAATCAGAGCTGAGTCCTTTATGTCAGAATCTCAGTCGAGCCCATCTCTCCATGCTGACTCCTAAGTAGTCATACTCTTGATAGCTTGTTCATGCCTTTGTCCCTTCCTGACAGAATTTCTCTTCTTGGCTAACCTGATTCAGTATTATCTACACTTCGGCCTCTGTGGCAAACCCCCTCCAGCCAGGAAGCCCTCTCTGTGCCCCACATGGAGCTGTCCCTTCTCTTTGCTTCAAGTGCACTTGGGGTCTGAGACACAGAATTCAGCTCTTGGTTTTATCCACCAGGCAAGGCTTTCATTCCCTCAGGGCAGGGCCCCCTTCCACAGCCCCCGTCCCCACCCAGAGTCAGCCATCTTCCTAGGAACAAAGGCACTAGAAGAATCCTTGCTGGCTTTCTTGGAGTTAGCTTGCTTGGAGTTCTCGGTGCCAATCGAAAAAGTAGATAGAAAAATATGGTGCTCTTTGTCTCTAGAGATTGTTTGGACCGGACATGTAAATTAGACAAATAATCAATAAGCTACATGCAAACAAATCGTGGGCGGGAGTTCCCCTGCAGTCTTGCCGTCCACATCGGGGGTAACAAAGTCCATCCAAAGATGTCCTGTGATGGAGGAAACGGACTCCGACTCCTCCCGACTCCTCCCACTTACCTCCCCTAGGATGTAGCAGAAATTTTTTTTTAAAGTTAGAGGAAACAGCTAACTCCAGCCAGGAGAAATGAGGACCAAGCCGAAGAAAGCAGTTGTTTTAAAGCACTCTCGGTCTGCCCACCTCTCCTCTCCTTGACCTCTATCCTGAGCTGGCTTTCTGTATTTTCAGGAGAGAAAGAACCTGCCCCTGAGGAGCCTGGCTCACCTGTAAAGTCTGCACCTGCTTCTCCAGCTCAGAGCCCAGCCAAGTCAGAGACGAAGAGCCCCGTGGGCTCTCCCTCCAAGTCTGTGGACGGTGAGTGGAGCTGAGCATCTGGGAGAGAGGAGGCGCCTCCACAGGCCGAGAAGGGGGTCTGCATAGAGGGTGGGCAGGTATTCACTGCAGGGCACCTGACTTTCAACAGGTGCTGCCCTCCTACGGGAGACTCTCCCCTCTGCTGTCTCTAGGGAACCTGAAACAGGGGTTACCAACTTTAAGCTTGTTCCATTCACAAGCTGTGACAATGCACCTTACGGGTTAAGCCGAGTCTAAGCAATACTGAGTAAGTTAATGATTGACCCACAGCCTTCTCATCTCTTACTCAGACCAGGTTGGCTGATGGGCCTTTCTAGACGCACCAGCCCAGTGCTCAGACTTTAATGTGCACAGGGATCGCCTAGGGATCTGGTTAAAATGAAGATTAAAATGTTAAAATGAAGACACAGTAGGTCTGGGGTGGGACCTGAGACCGTGCATTTCTGGCAAGCCCCCAGGTGAGGCTGATGGCATCATTCTCAACCTTGGCTGCACATCGGGATCACCTGGGGAGCTTTACAATCCCTGACGCCTGCCAGGGTCCCACCCCAGCGGTTTCTGAGTTCAGTGGTCTAGGAGTGGGCATGGGGGAGTGCAGCCTGGAGTTGTAAGATCTCTCCAGGTGAATCTAATGTGTAGCCCAGGTTGAAAACCACTTTACTAGATACTAGTTTAGAGAACTGAATTCTAGGCCCAACTCAACTGTTGATTTTAGAAAATCAGATAATCTCTGTGCCTCAGTTTCCTTGTCTATGAGATGGGGCTACTAATATTTTCCCCTTTTAAGGTTCTTATATATATAAGGGAAGGCGTAGGTGAAGACATACTTGGAAAGAGTGAAAGCCTGATGTAAATATAAGATCTAATTATGGTTATGATTAATAACATACATAGGATGGATAATAATATGAGAGTCCAAACCTCCTAGATCATGCAAGTGTCTTTAGTGAGCTCCTAGAATCGCTCCGGGGCATGAACGCTCCTGCCCTGGGGCACGCCACCCCAACTGTGAGCCCTCACCAGGGAGGGCTGAACCCCAGGCAGACAGTAGCAGCTGGGTGTCCTGATAGAACCTTCCCCCTCCTGGGTAGAATGGCCACACGTGTGAATGCAGCTCGAATCCCCAACCCTGAGCTCCCTCCGTAAGTGAACTGCTGCCTTGAGCGCAGGCCCAGCATTGGCAGGGGAAACCCATCTGCTTGAGGCCGGAGCCCCAAGTGGATGTCCCATGACTGTGTTCATCGTGTCTCATCGTGGTGTTGTCAACCTGCCTCCACAACGTCTTCCTTTCTCTTCCCGTTGGTGCCTTCATCAAAGGAGTTTCCTCCGATTCTGAATACTTGTCTCTGTAGTAAGTGTAGAGAGGCTGTTTACTAACTCACTCCAATACGTGCAATGGGGGAGGGAGGACGTTTACAAAGGAAATATGTTGCTCCTCAGTTTTTTCTTTTGCTGCTCACAACCCTGCCTTCGGGAGGTTTCCTGACCATAAAAGTCATCACCAATTCCACATGTGCTGTGCATGGTTTAGGCATCCCTCTAGGATAGACACACATAGGTCATACCCATGCACTAACACACTCCTGTACTTGCATGGGACATGCCACCCACAGTGAATGGGCCTTGGGCCAGCTGCTGGACGCCCCCTTAGGCGGAGGGCTTGTGGCCCTCGGGAGCACATCTGCACCCCCCCTTCCTAGTGCATGGGCCCCTCTAAGGAGCCCATGACCTCTTTTAGGCAGAGCCTGAATGGCCTTGGGGACCAACTGCCTTATCTGCATGCAGAGAGCACCCGGCCTGACTGCAGTCTGCAGCATCCCTGCACCAACTGCAGGAAGGCGAGCCCACTGGAGAGGAGGCTGGTGGCAGGAGTGGGACAAGGGGTGGCAATTCCATTTCGGCTCTTGGGAGCCCCTTGGAGTGACCTCTGCTACTCAGTGGGACGGGGGAGGGGAGGAGAGGGGTGTGAGGGGTGGGATCACTGCTTTCCCACTGCCTGACGTCGTTCCCACTGCAGCAGGATTCCTGCTTCTCTCTGGCCCAAATCTATGCTCCATGGAGAGGCACACTCTAGTTGAGTTGTTAGAAAAGAATCTTACTGTAACACAGGCAGAGCTGGGGAGCGTGGACCTCCTTGGTGCCTTCCCCGCATGAAGAGGCACCAGTTGGATCTGTCTGGGGTGACGGTGTGAAGTGGGGCTGGGTGGCCTTGGCCAGGCTGCCCATTGGCTTGCCCAGCTCCTCAGAACAACAGGGCTGACCCCCCCGAGTAGCATCTGCACTTTGACATATAGCTCACCCATCAGATCCGGAATGACTTTTACACCATTGGTCCCCATGCTCTCAAATCCTCTTGTGCTAATTCACCTCAATGTCACTCCTCATCTGTCTCCCTGACTCCTACCCCCTCAGCCTCTCCGAAGGAGTCCTTCCAGTCCTGTTCCTTCGCATCTGGCCATCTCTGTCATCACCTTCTCTGTTGACTGGCTCCTGACTGTCCCTGCCCCTGCTGAGTCAATTCCCCCATGGGCCCCTCAGGAGCATTGGCTATGCCTGCAAAGAAATAGCCCTGCATTCAACATCAGAAGGTCAGCTGTGTCACTTACTAATTTAGCCATCTCAAATAAGTTGCATAAAAACACTGCAGGATGGGGGACTAACATGAATCCTTGCCTTTCCCAACTTACAGCATTGTTATCAGGATAAGACGAGCTCATAAATATAAACGGACCTTGTAATGCGCTTTCATAAATGAGTTCTCCCTAGGTACTGTGTTCTCAGGATTGTGAGAGATACTACGCTGCTCGCTGCTTTAAGCCACTAAGTTCTGGTGTGGTTTGTTATGCCTAATGAGGACTGGCTTATGGAAATTAGCTCTCTTGTGGGTTGACAAGGCTCAGCGGGTGGTTCTTCCGCTCCACTGATGTCAGCTGGGGCTGCAGTCACCTGGTCGCCTGACTAAGCTAGAACTTCCAACATGGTGCACTCACATGTCAGGTGCCTTGTCAGGGGCAGCTGGAAGGCTGGGCTCAGCTGGGACAGTGGAATGGCTGGGCCTCTTTCTCTGTCTCTCTGTCTGTCTGTCTGTCTCTCCATATAACTGTAGGTCCTCTCCATGTGGCCTCTCCATCTGTGTTTCCATCAAGGTAGTTGGACTTTACACATGGTGCCTCAAGGCTCCCCAAACTATAGAAGCAGAAGCTGCTGGGTCTTCTTAATTCTTCGGCCTGAGGCTGGCTCAGTGGCACTTCTTCTGCATTCTGTTGGTTTCTCCAAGCCACAGGGCCAGCCCAGATTCAGTGTGGGAAGGGACCACACTCAAGTGTAAAATTCATATATTGGTGGTAGGTTTAGAGAAGGGCAAGATCGTTGTCAAATGTCAAGGGAGGCTGGAACCAGACCTTGGGGAGATATATGCTTGGACTGGCAGATAGGAGTAGAGTGGGCTGTCCAGGGAGTGGGCATTTCTGGAAGGGGACATCGGAGGACTGAGAGACAAGTGTTTGGATGCTGAGGGATAGTGAGAAATCCAGTCTGAGAGGTAGGTACCCAAACAAGCTCGGCATCTCCCTACCAAAGCACCTCCCTTCCTCCTCCAGCCTCTTCAAGCCTTTCGGCTCTTCCCAAGCCACAATGGTGTGGCTATGGACCTAGGCTGCCAAGTCCAGTCTTGTTCCAAATCCACTCTCCCTATTCCCCTCTGCTTCCTGGCCACCATCCTTGGATAGATCCCCCGATTTCCCAGCCTCTACCCCATTCCACCCACCCTACACCTGTCTCCTACTCCCAGAGCTCAAATTGCCCCATCTAGGAGAGAAAGCCAGTGGTTCGTCTTAGGAGATGCTAGAAGGTGAGTTCGCATCTGCCGTAGCTCCTGGAGCCCTTCAAATAGCTGAAGACCCAGGTAGTTCTGACCTTAACTGTCGTGGGCTGTTAACAAAGGAGGGATCTGGACTCTCAGAGCTGGTCCTTGATACTTTCCTTACTGGGGCCCAATAAGTATTGGGCTGCTGTTTGTTTACAAGGTTGGGTCCAGTTCAGCGTAGAAGGCTCAGGCTGGGACAGACAAGAAAGAAGATGAGGTATGGTGTTGGCTTGGTTAGAATAAAACCATTCACACGTTCATTTGTTTGCTTACGCATTCAACCGTTCATGGATTCCACAACCATTTTTTGAGTACCTCCTATAAGCTAGTCACGTAGATAATTAAACACAGTCTTGTCTGATTTATTTCAGTTTTGAGGGGAGAGATAGGCATAAAAAAGAAGTGATTGTTTTACAGTCACTGTGATGGAAATTTATCTAGTAGGGGCCGAAAGGAAGGAGTGACAGATTCTACCTGGAAGCAGGGATGGGACCAGGAAAGACTTTAAGGGGAGGGTAACACTCAAGCTGATTGATTGTGTGGGTGAAGGTTGGGGACACAGAGAAGAGAGAGAAGGGTGGTCCAGACAGAGGGAAACAGACTGCAATGGCAGGGAGGGGTCCAGGGATCAGAGGGTTGATGAGGCCAAAAGCAGATGAAGAGAGGAGAGGGGAGCGGTCAGGGGGAAGGCTGTGTCTGGACTGATTTTCTGCGTTCAAGAGAATGGCCAGTGATGACCGTGGGAATGCATGGTGGGCGGGAGGGCAGTAAGGGCCATAGGAGTCAAGCGCATTAGAGGACTTGGTAGCTGGATGATGGCAGGATGCGGGCCAGACAGTAGGAAGAATGGGAGCCAGGGCCAAGGTCTTCAGTACTAAGAGGGGACAGTCCTCAGGAGTTATTGGAGAAGACGTTTGCTTACCGAGATAGTTAAACTAGCCCATGTTAACTGTCCCCAAATTTAACCCCCTCTGTCCCATCTTCCAGGTAACCAGACATTTCTCCAGTCTTTACCCCATCAAGAACGCTAGCCATTTCCCAAGACATCTATCTTGCCCCACTCTGTCTGTAAGGGACACCAGTCTCCCACCTTCCCCAGCTCCCACACTCCCACCTTCTTGTGGTGTGATATCCTCACACTCACACACATGCACACTCACACACATGCACACTCACACACATGCACACTCACACACACCCCTCTCAGTTTCACGTAGTGAAAAGAACACTAAGCTGGGATGGCAGGAAACTGAGATCTGCCCGCTTTTCCTGCTTTACTCAGTTTTCCTATCTGTAAAATGGGGAGGAGCTAGATTAACTTTACCTTCCTTTCTACTTTTCAAAGTCTACAGTTTCAGAATTTTCCTTCCTCCTTCCCCATACAGGCATTTCAAAGCTTGAGTGGAAGCAGGGTGGGAAGAGAGTGGGAAGGAGGAGAAAGGGCAGCAGGAGGCTTTCACTCCTGGCCTTGAATAGGGTGGCAGTCTGTAGGGTCCATGCCACTCAGGGAATCCCACCCTCCCTCTGCCTGCCCCTCTCTGCCTACTGGGAAGATACTCTCCATTTTTGAAAAGTTCCTCAGAGGTGTAGGAAATGAAATGGGTATGAAAACATGTCATTTCCGTATTTTTACTAGTGAAACTGAACCAGCTACAACAATTCTTAGATGCATCCCCTGAGTTGTCCACGGCAGTGCCCTCCCCTTCCTACAGCCTCTCTGTAGTCTGCGTCTGTTCCCTTGTTCTGTCTGTTCCTAGGAAAGCTCCCAACCGGGCCCCTGCTGGGCTGCTGCCATGTCTAGAGATCATTACCTGTTTACATTTTTAAGCAAGAGCCCAGGGTCCCTGGCCTGCCAAGGGCCTGTTCTCTCCTGTTTGGGAGAGAACCCGGCCTACCCCTTTCCCCTTACCGTGTCAGCCCGCCCCTCTCTTTGCTCTAGACTTCCTTTATATAATTGCCTAGAAATGGTTCTATTAGCCCCAGGTTGAAGCTCTCGCCTGAATGAAATCTTATGGGTCACGTCTTTGGATCTTTTTCTAGAAGATGCTAAGAAGACGGAAACAAGCAAAGCCACCACAGAGCCGGAAAAGACGCAGCCAGAAGGAGTGGTAGTCAACGGCAGGGAGGATGAGCAGACGGCAGAGGACATCCTCAGCAAAGGCCTCAGCCAGATGACCACCAGCGCCGACACGGATGTCGATACCTCGAAGGACAAAACAGAGTCAGTCACCAGCGGTCCCATGTCCCCAGAGGGCTCGCCTTCCAAGTCTCCCTCAAAGAAGAAGAAGAAATTCCGCACCCCGTCCTTCCTGAAGAAAAGCAAAAAGAAGGAGAAAGTGGAGTCCTGACTCGCAGCCCCGTGGGGCTCCCATCTGCGTCCTCCCTCCCCTCCCTCGCCGTCTCCCATCTCTGTCCCTGGAAGCACGGGGCCAGGGAGGGGTCGAATAGGCCCTGGATCACACTCTGATGGGAAACTTAGAGATTACCCCACCAACCCCTCATTTTACAGTTGCCCCACAGAAATCAGGTGACTTTCCCAAGGTCATACAGCTGGTTCGTGGCGGAGCCTGCACTGGAAGTCAGGTCTTCTGGCTCCCAGTCCAATGCTCTTTCCACTACACGACACTGCCTAGCTGTGGGCTGCCCTTGTGAGGATGCTGCCCCTGATCTGAGCCCAGGGCAAGGGGCCAAAGTCAGCCGCAAGCTCTCACAAATCAGACCCAAATCAGACAGGTCGAGGCTCCCCTGAGCAGGGTCCTTGTCCTTGCGTGAACCCAACCTCCTGCTGATGGAGCTGTCACTATGTTTAGAAATCTCTCTTCTCTTTCCCATAGGGTAACTGCCCTGCTGCTCACAGGAACCACACAAGTGGACCCGCCCCCTCCACCAGAAGTTAATCCTTGTTCCCAAGGGCTGATGGCTTAGCTTGTGCTCCCCCAACCACTAACCCCAAGCTTTCTTCATGGAACCTCTGGAATGACGGCCGGAATTGTTGTAAGAGTGGGCAGACGTGAGGGCAGCCAGCTCAGCCACAGCGTGGAGGATGGTTCGATCAATATAAGAAGCCAGGAACTTGACCCATTTGAACAGTGCATCTCAGGCACTTCAAAACTAAAACCAAATTTAGCTTAGGAAAAACTTCTGTCATAAGCAGGGCCGAAATTTGGGGAAATTTCGATCCTCTGTTGGCTTTGGGTTGTACAAGGAGGATCAGGACAGCGCGGATACGTGATGCCTTTCAAGCATTTGCCTGACTCTCAGGGCAGCGCGGCTCACCCTGTCCCCCGCCGGTCCGGCATCTGGGATCCCCTGACCTTCCCTTAAACCTAGAAGCCCTGGCTCACAGCCTGGAACTGGCATCCTTGGCCCCTTGACCTTGGCCCCCTGACCGTGGCTCCTCTGGTTTCTGACTCAGTCACTCTAGGTCCAGCAGAGGAGAATGAGGTGAGCCCTTCAGGATTAATCCTCTCGGACCAGCTCTCAGAGAAAGGCTTGCGTGTCCCTGGCCCCGTCACTGTCTGCCCATCAATCCTGGGGCCTATAAGAGCCACAGCTATTTTTTTAGATGCCGTCACTATCGTTTCATACTCTTCCCTGGGGCTTTGATTTATAAGCAACATTGACTCCTAAAAAACAGACAATCCATTCTCTTTAAAGCACAGTGTCTTCAAAGAATATTTTCCCTTTCTGTCCTGAATATTGTCAAAGTATTTTTGAAAGTTCTTAATCATAGTTTTCCATTTTTGAGCACTTACTACACACACACACACACATACACACACACACACACACACACTGTGCAGGCTTCACATACACTATATCCTTTAACCCTCCCTGTGATGTGGGTCAGATTATTCCCATTTTATGGGTAAGAGAACTGAGCCCCCCAAAGGATAATTGACTTGTTCCAGTGACTTGGCTAGAAAGATTCAGAGGCTGGATTTGAACCCAGGTCCGTCTGAGTCCAGAGCCTTTGCACTTAACAGCTATGATGATCAGAAAACTTTAATCTCCGAGGGTGGTTGTTTTAGTCCTGGACCGTTTCGTTTCTGTGACTGGCCTCCACTGCATAATGTTAGCACTTGAAGCGAAGGTAGGAAACCACCTGTGTTCCCCCCGATCAGTGCACAGTAAGTTCCTGGTGAATGTGGGCTGTGACAGGGCCACTGTGGACCTCTGACAAAGGAGAGGCCAGAGCCTTCTGGTTGGGGCAGGAAATACCATCACCGTTGGGCTATTTCTTGGGAAGGAAGGAAACTGACACAGGACTAAGGAAAACACAAATACTGCGTGTCCCTAGAGCAGATTCCTAACTGCTACCCAGACCCATCTCTCTGTTCTGCTTCTGACTGAGTCAAGTCTTGTGATGGACGACCCAAAGCAGAAAAGCCTGTGATATGGCAAATGCCTTTCAAAGCCACTCCTTTGATGCCTTCTTTCAAAAAAAAGATTTCACATTCATTCATTCATCCCAATATTTGTTAAGCATCCACAAAGCAGCAGGCATTATGCTGACATTAAAAGAAAACAATCGCTGTGACTAGAACAGTCAGCGGGAGGCAGTGTTAAGAGAAAGGTAGAGGGGACACAACCACTGATGCAGGTTTTTATGTTTGAGTGGTTGTCGCTCAGAGATGATGTCAACAGACTCTTTGCTTTCATCACATTCTCTTTATTCCCGTTAAAACAGGGAGGCCTCATTTAGGTGAACATGCCAGGGCCTTGCAGGAGTTTATGCCATGGGGCCACCTCATATCCAACCATCTGTCCTTTCCCTATGCATTCAAAAACCACGCATGAGCTTAGGTCATGGACCAAGCTTGAGGGCAGGACATGGTCCCCGCCTGAAGGAGGTTCCTAAGTCTAGTAGGCATGTAAACAAGTTACAGAACGGGCAAGGGTGCAGAGGAGGTGTAAGGAAGCTTTGATTGGCTGTCTTCCAGGCCAGAGAAACCTTCCTGAAAGGAGTGACGGTTGAGTTAGGGTTTCAAAACAAAGAGGAATTTTCCAGGAGGACAAGAGGATTAGTAGGGCACTGGTGATGAGGGAAGAGCCCGTGCAAAGGCACGGAAGCATGAAACGCCATGACGCGTCCGTGGCGTAATTCAGTGCGGCTGGGACAGAAAGTGTGAGTCAGGTGATGGGGTTCACTTCACAGGTGGGCAGGGGTGGGTCATAAAGAAACTCGTAGAAGGTGTCGGGGAGTGGGACTTTATCACGAACGGGGTTTGGAGCTGCTGAGGGCTTGTGGTCAGGGTAGATCGTGAGCAGGTTGCATCTTAGAAAAATTCCTTTGGTGACTGAGCGGAGAAATGACTGGAGGGGGCAGCGCTGGAGGCATGGGAGGTCTCCACAAGGAGGCCTTTCGGAAACTGGAACGGATGTGGTGGCCTGCCTTACACTGCCTTTTCCCTTATAGCAAATAGTGAGCTGGGAGCACAGAATTCATTCCCATGACATTCTTTGAATGAGGCATCTTAAGAGAGCTTTTCAACAAGGAGAGGGAACTATTCAGAGAGCTAATGCTCAGCGCAGCTTCCAGCTCTGTTTTGTCTTGGTGTAGAGTTGCTGGGAGAGCTGTCGAGTCACCCTGCCCATTTCGCCTCCTCTTGAACGTATAGGATGCAGCTGGCATGGCTCCAGGCTCGAGACCAGGTGCTGAGTGCTCCTGAAGCAGATGTGCCATTCAGACAAGACCACAGGCTCGCAGGGTGAGAGGAAGGGACTTATTCTTTGGCTCTGAAAAAAGTTGGCTGAATACTTTGGCCAGTATCTGTCTGGAGAAAAATACTCAGCATGTGAGGAGCTCAGCAGTGTTAGGTGATAGGATGGCTTCTAGTAAAGCTTGGATATGCTGTGGAAAAGGATGAGAAAGTGTGGACTGAGATGCTACGTTATAGATGCTGAGCTGGGGAGTGGAGAGGTTTCTGAGCCTGTCTCCTTGGGAAGATGGGCAGGGGTGGGAGTAAGGAGGCAGAGGTGTTACAGACATGCAAGCTTGGCGCCAGTGACTCCCCCTGTACTGGTGGCCGGTGCCCAGCAGTCATGTGTGAGGACCATCCATACCACGTGACCTTTCCTCAAACTTTGCAAAAAGCACTGCCAAGAGACCAGCCCAGATCTGGGCTCCACAAGAGCCTCCTGGCCTGCAGGCGACCCAAGTCACTGTCCGACTTCAGCCAGGTTATACAGACAAAAAGAACCTCCCTCAACCCTCCTGTAAGGAAAATGGGGCTCTTCCTCTGCAGACAGATAAATTCTTTTGAAAGAACTTGAGTGGATTTGGATGAGAAGTCTGGTCCAGTAAGAACCCCACTGGAAAGCATCACCCTTATACCACTGATTGTGTACTCTGAGCCTTACATTCTGCTCCCCGTCCAGTAGTGTCACGCACTCCTGAATGTGGCAAGACAGTCATGCAGATGTCATTTGGCACTGACATCACAGAGGGCTACTACCCTTGTCAACACGGGAAGAAGAGCTATGTGGTCACTTCTCTGGTTGCCGTGGATTTGAAAGAACCATTCACCCAACATCACGATTCATTTCTTTTTTTTTTTTTTTTTTTACGATTCATTTCTGAAAGCCTAAAAAATGAAAAGGAAGTGTGGATTTCTCCATGGAGGTAGTCAGAGGGGCAGATAGACACACAGCCTACCCTCGGCCTCTGTGCCGTCTTTTGTACCGGTGTGAATTTTATGCTCTAGCTCCAGGCAGGAATACACAGTTTTTGACTGTTGAACAAATGAGAAAAACTACAGCCCTGCCCCTGGGTACTGGTGCAGGTCGGCAGCGGTACTCGAGGTAGCTGCCACATTGCATTTGCCTCTCCGAGCACAGAGGAAGCGGGTCTTTTAAAATCTTCTCTACCATATGAGCCCAAGCGAACTCTCTAAGACAATAACATTCAAAGAGTCTGAGAAGAAATGAAGGAGGGGACAAATCTATGCAAATCTATGCTCTCCACCCCCGCAGAAAGGACAGGGCTCCCCACGATTCAAGACGTGATGGGCCATTATATCCTCACTTTTCCACATCTATTCTGAGAGGGATACTTTAAAAAGTCAGAGACCTGAAATGACTAATGAAATATGCTCATTGGATGTTTATCTGTGGGCAGTTCCACTGGTACCACAATATGAAAAAGCACACACAGTACACAGTAGAGTGTTGAGCTCCAGACGCCCCATCTAAGCAACCTGTCCACTTGGACGTGCATTCCTTTTTGCCAGAACTAAGAGTGCCCATGTAGAGCTCTGTCGCCAGTGCACACCCAACCCTGTTAGCCTCCCACGGTGAGAAGCCACCTCTCACCCAGGCCTCAGTGTGGGGTTTCAGGCGGGGTGTCTCTCTTGAGTGGAGAAAGCGCCTTTCGTCATTTTTATGTAGAGAGGCTTCTCTTTTTAGGAAAGATTAGGAAAAACCTCTGGTTGGGGGTTTTCTTAAAAATACAGAAGCTATGGTTTGCGTTGGTTTGTACTTACGTGGTATGAAGGTTTGCCAAATTGACGTTTGGTGCCCTCTGCCTTCAAGCTTGCCCCCAAAGTTGGGCTGTCACTATGAGACATTGGGGCCTGAAGATGGAGAAGAAGTGGTCACCATTACGGGCACAGGGAGGGACTCAGGTGGACCTGGAAGCAGAGTCTCGCTGTGGGGAGGTACCAGCCAGTAGCTTTCCCTGTGTAGTCGGCACTTGATTTTTCTCACCCACTGTTTCCAAGCAGCAGGGTGAGGCCCGCTGTGACATGGCAAATCCCCTATCTTTCGTGTGAAGAAAATGTTTTGAGGGCTTAGGGGGTGGGAGGAGACTAGCAAGAAAAACCCTAAACTCTTCTCCCCTCCAACAAATTATCTTGCATAATTTTGAGAAGCGCAAAGGCCAGATCTTCTCTGTTAAAGTGAACCAGAAGGAGGAAGACAGTTGGACCAAGGACAGAGGGGCTACATTTAAATACATCAAAGGCTTCCTAAAATGGGAATATATTTTGGGGACCTCACCCCCACCTTTCAACTGCACCCCATGCCTATCGGTCCTGCTTTGTGGGTGATTGTTTGATCTCCACCGGCTGCTCCACCTTTAAATTCCTGTAATTTACGCTACACTGCTGAGTCCCACGCCCTTTCTCAGGAAGAGGCGGGGGTGGGGGGGGGGAGCAGAAATGGTCCTGAGCCTGGCTCACCTGGTGGTGGAGCACACGGGGGTCTAGGTAGAGTGCTGTGTTCTCTAGAGCTGTGGACGGTTTCAGTGAAACGTCTGTGTCTGACAATCGTCTTCCCTTGTACATACATGGTCTGTGTTTAGCTTTTCCTAGTATTGTGAAGTTTCAAATAGGGGTTCCATGCAAATACTCTTTCTGCCACTGAAATGCCAGCCCCCCGGATTGTGCATCTTTCCCACAAGTGGTTTTGCCTTTACGCTAACACTTTTTGAGCCGCTGATGTGCAGATTGATTCGTTTCTTGGGCTTTTATTTTGCAATTTTATATATATATATACACACATTATATATATAATATATATATATTTATGGGTTGGTTTTGTACGGTTTTCTGTTTGAATCTCTGAGCACCAAAGCTGCCCTCGGATTGTCAAGAGAACTTTCCAGAGCCACTTCCTGAGCCCCCCTCTGCTTTGGTGTTTGTGGTGCTGGGCGGTATCTCTGGCCATGGATTTCTGTATGTACGTGCTGTCTTCTCACCCGCAGATATTACCCTAGTAAATCTACTGTGCTTGGCTTCCCGGTGTGTGACCCATCTCTCTCAGCCACCCAGTTCTTCCAGCTCCCTGGGGAGCAGAAGCCAGAGAGGGGCTCCATGTATGGAAACTTTTATCCTGGAAACCTCACACATGGAAACCTGGACATATGAATCATTGAGTTCTGACTGGGGAGGGAGGTAATAAAATGCTACGGTCCTCTGAGAAGGGAAAGGCCAGGTGGATTTGCAAACAGCTCTGTGGAGGAAGGTCAATTTTGATGGGTTGGGATGGGGAGGGCTTGCAGAAACAAACAGGAGAGGTTCACAGGCTGGAATGGAAAGAGGTGTCAGGCCAGGATCAGAGGGCTGGGGAGAGCTAAGATGTCACCCCAAAGGGCAAAAGGGGAACAGAGACACTAGAGGAGAGGAAGAAGAGGAGGAAAGAGCCATTTTGCCCCCTTCCAACTCTTCTTTACTCAAATAAGGAGCTCAGTGTTTGTGGAGGGTCCACACACATCAGGCAGGTGCTGTTTAAGTGTCTTATACATAGCACCTCATTTAATCCCCAAACAACCAGAAGGGCGATCCTATTATCATTACCCAGTTTACAGATGAGGAAACAGGCTCAGAAATAAGAAAACTGGGGCTTCCCTGGTGGCGCAGTGGTTGAGAGTCCGCCTGCCGATGCAGGGGACACGGGTTCGTGCCCCGGTCCGGGAAGATCCCACATGCTGCAGAGCGGCTGGGCCCGTGAGCCATGGCCGCTGAGCCTGTGCGTCCGGAGCCTGTGCTCCGCAACGGGAGAGGCCACGACAGTGAGAGGCCCGCGTACCGCAAAAAAAAAAAAAAAAGAAAAGAAAACTGTCATGAGCCACAGGTTAACATGTGGTGAAGACCAAATTCAAACCGAGGTCTTCTAGGTAACCAAGTTCTGCCCATTGCCCAGTGTCCTGAGCAAAGAGACCTCTACAGAAGCAGATCTGATCATCACTCCCAGGCCCACCTGTTCCAAAAATTGCAGTCTCCTGCTGCATCCAGGTGCCCCAAAGCCCCCACAGGCTCCCCCACAGGAGCCGAGGCTCTCCCCTGCCCCAAAGCCATCAGTTTCTCCTCCCCTGAAGTCACCAAGGAAACTGCCTGTAAGCAGCACAACGTCTCAGCTCTGTCTTCGCACAGCTGTGTGCACGGATCAGGCCAGGGACCATAGTCAGTGTGCTGACATCGCTGTATAAGGCTGGCTGCAGCTAAAGTTGAACAACTCCCCACCCCCGCATCCGCCACTTCCCCCTCTTCCTAAATTTCTACTGCAAGGACGAAAGGGATCCAAACATGGGAGCAGAGTGCCCTCTACCGGCCAGAAAAGCTGAGGAATGTCTTCACAGTGTATAGTGCTGGAGGGAAGATTTAGGGTCAACCAATCGCGTGAGAAAGGGGAGGTTGCCTGGAGAGGAGGGTGAAAGGACCCGCAGTGGAAGCCAGCTAGCTGATAGCAGTGAGGGACACCTGGGACACTGGGGAAATGCTGGGGGAGCGCAAGCCTGGCCTCAAGGCAGAGAGCCAGGTGCAGGATTCACACAGCTGGAACCCTGTTTGCAAGGTCTAGGTAACAAGGGGAGAGAGGGGATGCCTCAGCACCAGGATCCTGACAAGGGTCAGAGTGCCAGGACACACCACGAATGCCGGCCACTCTCATAAATATGAAAAAGGAAATTTTCAGCCAAGTTTTGCAGATTCCACTGCTGCCACACAGATAACCTCTAATCTGACAAAAGGTAACCATTAGAAACGGAAATCTTTCCTTCTCTCTTCCTTTGGACCTTTGGACAGGGAGCCACACATCTCTGACGGGAACCATCTTTAATCTGATAGAGATCGAACTCTTTCAGGAATAAGCATGGAGAAAAATAGTGCGGTAATGATTTAGTAGTTCAAAAGCAGGAGCCAGTCTGAGAAATGGGGAGACATGCTCCTCAATGTAGCTGAGTTACTGCAAAAAACAAGAAGAAGGTTAAGAAAATCTTTATTAATATCCACTTATCAGAAAAGACCAGCCAGTCATGAAAAGGGAGCACTTTAAGAAAAAAAATTTTTTTTTTTGATGATGAGAAACAATACCGTATTTTGTTTTATTTTTTTTTGCGGTGCAGGCCTCTCACTGTTGTGGCCTCTCCCGTTGCGGAGCACAGGCTCCGGACGCGCAGGCTCAGCGGCCATGGCTCATGAGCCCAGCCGCTCCGCGGCATGTGGGATTTTCCCAGACCTGGGCACGAACCCGTGTCCCCTGCATTGGCAAGCGGACTCTCAACCACTGCGCCGCCAGGGGAGCCCACAATGCTGTATTTTAAAACGAGGCATGGGCAGTCAACAGCAGGTTGAAGATTGTTGATGAATGAGGAGAGCATAAAGATATGTTTAGACAGGTAAAGATCTCAAGCCCAGCACCGGAAAATATTAGCCAATCATGTGTTCAGTTGATTGGGAAATCAATCTAAGTAAGTGAGAATGGGAAGGACATGGGATTAAAAAATGGTCGTGAGCAATTAAATCAAACAAGTTTATACCTAAGTCTAGTTTTTCATTGTTAATTTAACAAACTTAAAGCAATTGTTCAAAAAGTAGTTATTGGAATACACACACACACACTTGGAACAGCAGAGGAGCAAAATATACTGAATTTATTTATCATTATTGATGAGAGGGATCTAATAGATTTTTCATTTTTTTTCACACACACACACACACACACTGTATTTTATTTTTACAAAGGATAAATAAACTGACACCAAGCATTGTAAATGGATGACCACAACAAAAGCAACAATGATTGCAATTACCAAACACTAAACACACTCATACTATTGTCATAATATTGACAGTCAGTCC